GACTTCGTGCTCTTCAAGGACTGGGCCCTCGTGAAATCGAATGTCGTAACTGACGGCTTGTTCTGCAAAGGAGAGAATATCCGCGGTGAAGTCGTCTGGCAAAATGCGGGGAAGATATTCATTCATGCATCGTTCCAGGAACGGATTCTTTTTCCCACAGCGGGATGCACACCTCGATAATATGTCCCAGGCGAAGCTTCGATTTTGATCGCCGATTTTTTTTGAAGAGAAAAGGCTATCCCACAACTTATCAGCTAAATCTGCACTGACGGTTTCTGGCACTTTCTCCACAATTCGCTGAAGGAGTTGAATTCGAGGGGTCAAATCAGGGCTCAATTCCGGTTCACTGAAACCCGAAGGATCAGAATTAAGAGCATGGGCAAGCTCTTCAATAATCAAGCTGGTAAAATCAAATTCTAATGCTAGCCGACGAATGTCCTGGGTATCAAATGGCGAAATCAAAGCAACTAGAGCGTTTATGCTTCCGACAGTGAATTCATTCATCTCAGAAATATCCTGAATGCACTGTTCAAATAGCTCCATCTTGTCACGATCGTTAATTCCGTGTTCGATCAGAAGAAAGAGATGCCGACTGGCGAATCTCTGAAGGTGAGACTTTTGTTCCGGGGAAATTTCCTGAACAGAAGTAATCTCTCGAATCAAACGGACGCACAGTCGCAGGGGCACAACATCTACAGGCGTGTAGTCGGGAGTGTTCCTTCCCCTATCCCCATACCTCATTCTAAAGGTGCTCAAGAGTTGCTCGCAATAATCTATCATTCTTGCGTCAAATCGGTTCAAGGGTAATTCGATCAGTTTCGTGCATAAATAAAGGAGAGAGGAAGAGCCCTGGGAATGCATGCTAAATGTACGAGTTAACATCGACAGAACCTCGGAAACAGTGCGTGGATCATGGCTCTCGGTTACTGTTTTCCAAATGATGTCGGTGTCTTGGTCCGTGTACGTGCCGGTAACAAGAAGAAATCCCACAATATTCCCGCTTCGAGAAATCAGCTGAGGATGTGAATCAACCCCGACAATGTAGTCGACTATTTTATTGTCCTTGATAAAATTCACAAGATACCTTGTAATTGGATAATCAACTCCCGCTGGATTGCCATTGATATTGGTTTTCCAGACGTTGACAAGATCTTGTTGCATTGTATCTACCCCCAGGACACGTAACTCCATCCTTCCATCTGTGATGTACTTTTTGAGGACCTTGAACTTCCAGCCAAAATGGATAATCTGGGCGAAATCTCTAGGTGTGGTGCCCTCGGGGTATATAATTTCAAGATCCTGGGCGATCTGAATACCTAATTGGTGGTCAAACGCACAGATGTTAGAGTAGGTACAGCTGATTGCACGAAGGATGGTGTCACTGATGTCACCGGCAACCCATGCTGCTTTCTTGGAGATAAGTGCCTGGTACGTGACATCAATAGAACGAAAGAATTCGTAAGCCTGGCTAATGATCTCCACGAATGTCGATGGCTTGAACAATGCTTCATCCGCCACAAATTTTTTGGCTTCACATCCGGATTCAACAATGTTGTGGATGACGGATAGAGCATTGGCAAAATTGGGTGCCTGTATTGGCTGATGGGGAAGCACTTCCAATATTAACTTGGCAAACTCGGCGATGACCTGAAGTGTGTTCATCTCTGGCCGACAGATAGACTCATTTATTTGAGCCAGGAGGGTTGCAACCTCTAGACCGTACTCATTCTCCATTGTCTTGTAAAATGGAATGTGCTTGGCTTGAAGAATCCAACCTAGAGGGTTCCAGTATGTCCTCGAAAGCAAGTCCAAGCGACGGTTGGGCTCCGGTGTATAGCTTCGCAGGAGTATGTTGTCCAACTGTACGATGTGGAGGGCGAGTTCTGCATAGGAGACGCAGAACCCATGCAAACACTGCCATGGGCCGTCCCCTTCATCAGGGAGAAGTTCCGCCCTACCAAGGTGTTAACCCAAGGCAAATACTTAATTTCTGGAGGTAGTCTTACTCCCGTCGCACTAGACCTTCCACTACGGCTGGAATTTCCTCCCAGAAATCACGATCTTCGACAAACGTCTCGTAAGTTATCTGATCTAGGTTGTTGACGCATTGATCGAACCACTGCTTGACGGCTACGAAAAAGGGTGTAGCGCGCAGATGGCCTATGAATGGGGCACCGAATTCGGTTAGTAAGGGGTTCATAAACTGGGTGGCTGATCAGAAGCGAACCACTTACCCTTTTCAATGACGTTCCGGATGTCATCTATTACTTCTCGATTGTCAAAACTCTGTCGAACACGAGGAAATGATTCGATAGGAGAAAATTGTTCCTGAATTTGCACCACCTCTTCTACCATAGAAGGCGCCTGGAGAGCGTCCCCGAGTGATCTCCAGTTCGACGTGCTTGGGGACTGATCTATATCCTCCAGTTCGGCCACTTCGATTTTCACGCTTTGAGTCGGTGAAGGGGACGAAGTTATTGAGATCGCCTTGTTATTCTGGGTTGGTACGTCAGGAGAGGGATGGCGTTGTGGAGACGAAGGATCGTGACCTTGTGCTTCGGCGCTCGGGATTATTGAGAGCTCGTCAGACACCGTGCCTTGTGGGTTAGACAGGACAGGAGATTTCATGTTAATTGTCACCCTGCTGGCCGGGCGGTGAGGAGACGGGAACTCTGGCGTGGAAGGGCGCGAGGTGGGAGGAAGAGGAGCAGAAGGGTTCGAGTTGGATTGACTGGGCCGATCGTCATCCCCGCCAACGGGACTGTGGGTGGACATCGCCATGGATTCAAGTGAATCGTTCCCACTGTCAAGACGAGGTCGTTTCCGGGTAGAGCGCGGGTCTGAATCTTCCATGAGTTCGTTTGGAGACAACGGAGGGTCGACTTCTTTGGAGGCAGCAAGCTGTGAGCAGCTAGATACATCTAGCGGGCAAGCTACCATGGCATCTTCCACCCACGGTCGTTATCCAGCGTATCCAGAAAACGAAATGTTCCGAGGCCAAGGGACACGGGGCTTGGGGGCACGAGTGGAATCGGCCGTCAGAAGAACCGTCCGTCGCAGCAAATATCTGAAGGAGGGAAGTCGTGCCGAATGAGCAGCCTAACGCGTCATCCAGGCATCCGGAAAACAAGTGAGGTTATTGGAATGGTGGGGGTGAAAGAAGTCAACAAGGACCAGAGTTGGATTGAAGGCACTTGGGTTCCCACGGGAATCCAAATGCTGATCACGAACTCAGCACGCACAGAAGAGAAAACCAGACCGGAAAAGGGACAGACAGCAGGGGGGAGAGATCTTCAAGCTAATGTGAACATGAATGCAGCTTGACGGTGTCTGGGACTGGCATGTCTTGATGCTGTGCCGAGCCTTGTCACTTGAGAGGAACGGCAGCGAGCAGCAGCGGTGGTTGTTGGACGGTTGACCGACGAACAGGCTGCTATCCGTTTATCGGAGGAAGCACGCTGATTGGCTGAACCTCGTGGGAGCTTCCTGCTGCTCTGCTGCCTGGTTGGTCGGCGGGCAGCCAGTCAGCTGTAATATTTCGGCCCGTTACTGTACTGTAATTACGGTGATTGCAGCCTTTCTTTTTGACGCTGGCTCAGAGCTGTAATTATCAAGATGCAGATGGAGACATAGAGACATTGCTTTTAACTCCTCCATGGGGCCAGAACACTCCCGATATGACTGGCTGAAAACAAATCATGCTCAGCCCATGCAGCATTGCTGAGCAGCGCGCCCAGGCAGAGGTAAATAGTAAACGCTCTATCCACGCCATCGTCCCTACATAACTACCTGTGTGTACTCCGTACAATGCTTCCGCAACACGGAGCCAAACTGGACTGGCTGCCCCACAGTACTCTGTACAGAGTACAAAGTGCACCTGCCCTTTGATGTGAGAAGAGGGCATTTCTCCTGTATTGTGCCAGCACCCCATAGAACAGCAGTGTATGTATCTTTGTATTTTCAGTTCATATAAGGCCCAGCCAACTCTGTTGTCTCTGCTGTATTATGGAGCCGTCTTGGATCCTGGGTCCAGGACCCTGGGCACGGTTTTCCGACCCTTGCTGAAAGAGCTGGACGGGCAATCCTCCGACTCTGCCTTTCTTCATGCAAAACCTGCTCTTGGCATTTCCAGATGTGGGCAAATGTTTGCTCAAGACCCCAAGGATCTTGTTGAGTAGCTGATAGTTGTATGAGTGCCAGGAAATATTTACTTCACATGGACAAAGACGAGTAGTTAGACGAAGCTAATGGTGCTTGGAGGTCAATATACACAGTATGCATTCCAGGTTTCAAGGGACTGTTTGCGGGAACATGCACAAGTCTTGGGTGTTTAAAATCACAGCTGACTGATGTTCCATTATGGCCAGACTGAACACAGATAGACGATTTCTGACATTTTGAGGGATTTGTTTTTACTCCCATTTCACTGCCGTGGGCGGCCGTCGTACACGCGTGAGTATTTTTGTGGGGTTAACTGTCGGCCAATCATCGCCCGGAGATATTAATTTGCTTTCTGAGCTGCCAAATCCGTGCTGCGAAACTCTTCCCTCTCAGCCAACACCAAACAGCTTTTCAACTAGCAATTAGCGAAAATGGTTTCAACCTCTATGTACGGAGTAGCTAGCCCACTTTAAATGTATCCCATCTTTGCTCTATCCAGCTAATATCTTACAGACCAGATATACCCCAAAAGCACCAAGCAGTTATCTTAGACCTGCTTTGTCGGTATGGAACCGGGATGATGCGTGCCCATTCCCTATCATCCACATCATACACCCAGAAAAGACTTGCATTGAATCACTCCGCCAAATGAAAACGTGCTGTTCTGGACACAGCAAGGTGCGAACATCAGGGGCTGACTTGTCTCAGGTTGCTTACCCCTGTGGGTGAACATCGGCATGAAATTAACCCCTCACGGGGTCGCCGCTGGAAGAAGCGGAAGCGCAAGAGGAGCTCGTCCCTGGGAATCCAGACCAGGGCTTCTGTGACGCCCATCCCACCGGACATATCAAAGCACCTTACGGTGGGCTTCAATTCTACAGCTCGAGCCCTTGAAACAATGTGCAAAGTCCCATCTGCTGCTATAAACGAATCTCTTTCTGAAATGGCAACTGAGAAAATAGACCGCAAGCAAGCCGGAAAACCAAGCAAGCTTGTTGCTGTGTTTGTCTGCCGTTCCATTTTACCTGTCAGCCTCCTTGCCCCTTTGTCTTCTCTCGTTGCATCCGCATCCCAGACGCTACCCCCTGAGCAGAAAATTAGGCTGGTGTGCCTACCGAAAGGCTCAGAGACACAGTTGTCCGCAGCTGTGGGTGTTCCCAGAGTATGCATTGTTGGTGTCGCTCAATGCTCTTCTGCCTCAATTCTAGTAGAGTATGTTCGGCAAAATGTACCCGCAGTGGATTTTTCCGGCATGGTATGCGATATCTACTCCACTGCTGAAGAACATCAAAATTTTCTAACACATGTACAAGGTTGGTTCTTGATATATGATGCCCATCCTCAAGATACGACAGCACTATTCTTGGGCGTCCGCCATCGCGGTTTCTATACGGCGGAGAATTCTTGCAGGATTTCCAGCTGCAACGTGAAATGGCGGGATGTCCTATAGTTATGAGTATCGGAGCAGCATATCCGGACGGCGATGCTAAAAACAGGACATACCTTAGTAACAACACTGCCAGCCCCAATTGTCACCCCTTTTCCAATGGTGACTCCGGGCAAAATGACCACATTACCTCCGATCCAGCAATCTTCCCCGATATGGATTTCACTTCCTAGCTCTGGCCCTTTCGTTCCATTCCTGAGTGCCGGGTCCAGGGGGTGAGTTCCACTATAGAGGTTTACGCAGGGCCCTAACAGCGTTCTAGCCCCAATTGTTATCGGGCAGGTGTCGATGATCACGCAATTGAAGTTGACAAAGACACCCTTTCCAAGCTTCACGTTGTACCCATAATCCGTCCGAATGGGAGCCTCGACCCAAGGATCATCTTCGAAGAGCCGATCGTCAGCTACAGGATCTTCCGCCGGAGGTGGCATGGGGCGTTCATCTTGGACGATGCTACACTAGTCAGTATTTCTGATACCAGTCAGATCGAGACTCGGGGATAACGTAAACCATGATGGAAAACGAAGGGAAAAAAGAGAGAGATTGAGATAATAGGCTCTTATCGCATACAGAATGGTAGGATACTGCAAAGAACATATTAATAGCCTTTGGCTGTAAAACTACTCACTCTCTCCAAAGCTGCACCCGTCGTCGTCGAGATACATCGCCGGCATTGTTGAATCTATCACAAGCGCTTTTACATCGCGCCCTCTCCGCCTCTAGATCCGGGGTGAAAGCATGGTACAGCTCACCCCGGAGCATCTTGTCCTTTTCAGATAAGCCCTGTTTCTCAGCCATGACGAATCGACCCGCCTCTTCTGGACTTCCTCGCACTGGTTGCGACCTGGCGAGAGATTGCGGCTGCTTGCGATGCCGCTCAGCCTCACATCATCAATCCGGCTGACTAATTTCCCGTCCATGTGGGGTTCATCCCGCTAAGCCAAATTCGGCCGCCAAACCTTAAATTTGCTCGTCGCGGCACTGCGTTCAGACAGCTTCATTTTGTTGCCAGGAGACAACAATAGCATATTGTTCTCTAATTTATCCTTTCTTTGTGTCAAGCTATCATGCCAAAATTCTCTGAAATATTTGCCAGTGGGGAGCATTTGCCCCCTTTCTTTGTCTGAATGTAGACTACATGTTTATATCTGGTTTGCTGACAGCCTCACTGCTGTTCGTTCACTCTTGCTTCTGGAGTGTTTTCAACTTATCAGCCAACAGGGCCAATTGAACATACAACAACGATTCACAATGGACTCAGTAGCGTCTTTTCCTTCTAGATTTTCTCCATTGGATGAGTTTCCCACACCAGGGCTTGACGGGCAACCCCGTCCGGATTACCGACCATACCGCCCGACCGCGAATGGTTCAACTAAGTCTCGAGTTATCGACCCCGCATATCTTCCAGGCGGAGAAAAGTCCCTCTCCGGTATCTCCATTCGTTCGTTTCTCCTTGGCCAGGCTGCAGGCACCTGTGTCGTCCTCACCGTGTTACTTTACACATTTTCCAATCCATTATGGCGCGTTCCTTTCTTCGTCACATCGTTGGCCCTATTCCACTTTCTTGAATACTATATCACTGCCCGTTATAACAACTTGTTCGCAACGGTCACCGCTTTTCTCTTGACTCAAAACGGAGCCGCCTATAATATCGCCCATGGGTCTGCAGTTGCAGAGTGCCTGCTTGCTCATCTATTCCTCCCCGACGGTTATTTTGAATGGACCGCTGCGATATTTGGTGGCATAAAATATCAGGTGTTGGTGGGACTGGTGTTGATGGTAGTTGGCCAAATTGTTCGGTCATTGGCGATGGCACAGGCAGGCGTTAGTTTCACTCATACTATTCAGCATCATCGCAGGGAGGAGCATAGCTTGGTGAAGGAAGGGATTTACAGCATTTTCCGCCATCCAAGCTACTTCGGATTCTTCTGGTGGGGTTTGGGGACGCAATTGGTGTTGGGAAATGCGGTATGCTTTCTAGGTTATGCCGCTGTGCTCTGGGAGTTCTTTTCTTCTCGGATTCGAAGTACGCTTTCATCCATGATTATGGCCAGAGGAAAGAATGCTGACTACTTGCCCGATGTAGAGGAGGAGATGCTATTAATCGAGTTCTTTGGTAAAGAATACGTTGAGTATCGAAGCAAAACCTGGGTTGGAATTCCAGGCATACGCTGACTTATTTCATCTTCGTACTGATTCTCATATTGACTCTGTTTACGGTCATGTTCGTCTGGCAAGAACAAATTAAGTTCTATGTTCATATTTTTGGAACCAACTAAACCCACAGAGTCTAGAAAGGAGGTGATTCCATATCAGAGATATTCCTTCCCTGTTGACTCTGTTTATCATATATGTTTCGCTCCTCTCCAAGCTTGTTTTCTCACTGGGGGGTGATGGGGTGTACATGGCTGCAAATCAACGCAATCATGGATTCATCCATCTATATCAGCCTTTGTTCCCCTAGTTTCCTAAGCGCTTCGTGACTACATTACCTCTTCAGTGTTCTTGACGACGTAATCATCAATTGCCCAACCATATGACTCCAGCACCTTTTTATATCAGGAAACACTATGGCTCTCCATGATATAACTTCCTTCTCATGGATAGTCTCCTCTTCTACCCCCACAGCAACTTTCTTTGATGATTATTCTTATCAGCCATTAAGCATATCAATTCCCTGCATCTCTATCTTTTGGCCTGCCTGATTCAGCTATCTTCTTACGCATTCGCCCTATTCTCTACTTAACCACCAATGTGCCACATTCGCAAGCACCTCCACAAAATCTGCAGATGCCAAACAGACTACATTTACCTCTGCAGCACCTTCCAAGTCCCACCATGTCCTTCATATCCAGCTGCAGACTCCCGATTTGTTCAAGTTCGAAACTCCATTTTCGTCGTCGACATTCTATCGCGCTGCCCCAATCTCGACATGTATCCAGACATCGTGGATCCATATCCATGCTCCAAGCATCAACACCTTCTAGAAGAATACCCAGCGCTCGTTCTAGGCCCACCGCCGACAGATGGTCGACATGGTTTCGCCAACGAAAGTTCAGGGGAATCCGCAGAACGATGTAAACCAAAAGAAAATGACAATCCGAGCATTGACTCTAAGCACACTTCGGAAACGTCAGGCAAATGGCAACGTTCAGGACTCCGAAAATCGGGACGGCGACAAGACAATGAGTCTCTGCCAGACGATCGCGCCAGCGAGAAGAGGAAATGTTCGGGAGTTCGGAATCTTTGGGGATTGCTGGATCCCTAAACGAGAAAATAGACATACTACATCCGCTGCGAGAATACCTTGGAAATAAAGCGGACGTCGAGGAATGGCAGCATGATTTATCCCCATACCATGGCTCCTATCCGGCCTTTCGTCTGTGGCTTTATCGAGGCTAGGCGAGCGAAAGTGCGCTTTGGTTCAACCTGAGGAGACAGGCCATATGGCTGGAGTTTCCCAGATATGCAGCCAAACCGATGGCCGAAAAGTTATCTAAAGATCATCGACAAATGGCTTTATCAAGGAAGTGAAAGCTACTTAGCAAGGAGCAAAAGTTTGGTCATATCCCTTTCTTGGTATCTTGGGCATAATAAATACAAATAATCGATCCACATTAGATTATTTCGATCTCACAGCTTGCTTTCCCTTGGTTCAGGCTCCCCAGTGCCTAGGGCTCCGCTCATATATGGAACTTGGACATCTTCCTCTGCTCCAAAAAGTACCTTCTCTCTCCCTCCTCTCGTACTCCACCACGTAACGCAAAAGTAGGCCCTCTCAACATCCATCTCCCCACTGCTCAGCGCGTCCCAAAGCCTTTCTTGACACGTGCTTCGCATGGTACGGTCTTCAATTTGGCTTATCAAATGGGCAGCGAGATTAAGCCATTCTTCTAGTGTGTCAACCCGAAGGTAGCATAAGCAGTCAATTATAGTTAGTGTAAGAACCGCTTGTTCGGAGAGAAGGGGTTCCTCGGTGGGTGTGGAATCAACTGCGGAAGTTGGGTGAGGGAGAGGAGTCGTTGGGGCAGTTAATGCCCTGTCGTAGAGAAGCTGCAGAAGGATTGACGGGAGTAAGGGTTGGCTATTTGCTAATGGTGAAGGAGGGGCGGTGATCTGAAGGATTGTTTTAAATGCAAGTCTGAATTGTCTCACAGAGAGGTTCTGAGGGAAAACCTGTTCAAATTGGTTATCAAAAATGAACATAAATTGTAAAGAATCAGTACGCACATTAAACAGGGTATCAACATAGTATGGAAGATGTTTAGCTGCCATATCGGCGCTTTTTGGCGCCGCAAGGACGGCTAGAACGACGCTGTGAGCAGCTTCGAAGATCTCTAGGAGGTTGTTATTGCCGCCAGCTGCGAGATAAGGCAGCGCTGCAGATACTAATAAACGTTCATTGACATCCGGAGTGAGGATCAGCGTGAAATGTTCGGCAGTATTCAAGAAAAATAAATCCAGACACCTATCCACTGGATGAGCCGGAATTTGACCATTGTCTGAGGGTCGAATATTTTCTAAGAATTCTTGTGCGAGTGCGGGATATTGTGACAGGATGTCAAGGGAGGTGAGGTTAACAAAAACGAGATGGGAAGACGAGTTATGCCCTAATCGGCCCGTTATGAAAGAGAGATTTCGGAGAATTTGGAGAGTTTTGGAGGCGAGGTAAGGCGCATCTATATCTGTTAGCCACCGCACAGACGAAGTATTGCAGACGTCTTACATCTATCAGCGGCTAACACCGGGTCGTTTAGCACTCTGCCCATGGCAGCTCGGAGCACAATGACCATAGAAAACAAAGAGGTTTTCAAGAGCCGCCATAGCGTAGGCAGTGTTGATTTCAGGGTGATTTCATCCAAGAATTCGGCCTCTTCTGACATGTCAACCTCCGATAACTTGTTCTGACGCCATTGGACAAGAGCGGTGCGAGAATATTCAAGTAAAAGGTCCACCAATTCTGCGATTAGAGCCTGATTACGGGCATTATCGACAGAATGCGCTATCAAACGGGAGAGTGGACCAAGAGAGGTAATAAGCGGCCTCGATAGGATGGTATTAACCTGACGGAAAGTCGGTGAACTTTCGACCCAGGCAAACTTCTTATTACCGATCTCGCGAACGTCCTGGTCGATGGCGCCTAGAAAATATCCTGAGCTAAGACCTTCTTCGGAGAAAAAGGCGGAGTCAAATAGGATAGGAAGAAGGATATCGTAATCGATCTGGCTTCGCTCCCAATCGGACAGCAACTCAAATGTATAGTTTAAGACTAGGACACTGGCGTGTGCCGCTACCTTCGGATTTTCTTCCAGCTCTGCCAACGAAAGTTGTAGCCCCTTGATCAGTGCCGATTCAAGTTTCTTTCTCCAGTGCAACGACAAACTCTGGCGATTCTGGCCTTCGAAGCCCAGCAACACTCCGCCAATGAGCAGGAGGTGTCTCCAACGTGGGGACTTGTCATCTGCGCCGTTGACCACGGCCTTCAACCATTCTTCTCGCTCAAGCCCGCGCCGCTGGAGATATGGTGGTTTTGGGTTACTGGACGATTCATGTTGTACGATTGTAAACGCTGCGCTATTGAAGACTCCAATCAGTCTGCGACAGGTCTGGAGATCGACCTGCCCTTCCCACAAAGCCGGACAGCAGAGTAGTTGCGACGACAACAGCGATACGTTCAGGGGATTCTTAAGAAGGGACAAGAGGCCGGTTGCTGACGGTAATAATCTGGTGTGCTCATGTCAGTATCGGGGTGATGAGACAAGATGAGGGAGCTTAAATTACCTGTACGCATCTTCAGGCACGGAAGCAGTCTGCAGGGATCGCAGGAGCGTTGCGAGAGATCTCTCAGTACCCATCGTGCAATTTTGTTTCAAGCTTTCTGTCCCATCGAAACTGGAGAGCGGTAATCCTTATGGCAGCTCGCGGGATCATTGAACTGACGAAAGCGCAGACATGCACATCGGCGGCCAGGAGGTTGATGCCAAAAGCTGCCGAGGTCCAGAACGATGCATCACGTGATCATCTTTTGACGTAACCAACCTATTCTCCCTGCCAATTCTGGACCGTTCTCCTGAGCGACGTTCGCGTTTCTCGGCGGACGGAGAGCCCAGCAGCTCCTGGCGACGATGTTTGTACCGGGCGATTATAGCGTTCCGCCGTTTCCTTCTCTCTATACTCCCCTCGGCCCCTCCCGCGATGAAGCCAAATACCTGGTGTTTACTGGCGATATGTGGCGGTTTACGCTCTTCTGGACACTGATACTCTACTCCGGTGTTCATATCGCCGCAGCCGCATGTGTCGTGATAACACAATGGCATAGTTGGAAGGTTATATGGGCGGTACCTGTCTTTTATATTCTGATTGCTGGTCTGGAGGGTTTGTTAGCAGGGAGTGTTGTGGGGCTACTGTAAGGAATAGATTGATCCTCGTGCCGTAAATTTTACGGTAGCGGGATTTATAATGGCTAACGGAAACGTGATCCTACAGCATCGGAGCCGTCTATGAGGCTGGGAACCTCAAAATGATCACCTGGCTACCGTTCATATGGGGCTGCATCAACACCTTAGTTCTAATCTTATCCGGTTTCTCCATACAAGGTGGACTTTAGCGCCATAAACCCGCTACAAATGCAAAGATCGGTTTTACAAAGATGTGATTATGAATGCTCAACACATTTTGGTATCGTAACATACATGCGCCAGCCCCAAACCCGGCCTTCTCAGAAACCAACTCCGCATATTTTACACGAATGCAGCACCGTATCACTTGAACGCCTCCACATAGCCCCGACGTGCGATTTTCAAAATATATCCGCATAAATGGGATTGATCTTTAGGATCCCATGCATTGTATTTCAGGTCTATGCAGTCTATGCAGTCTATGCAGTCTCACACTTGGGCCGATCAATTCGCGACCAAAATGATGGTGCTATTTTGGTTGTTGATGCGCAGGCTGTGGCGGAAACTTTTGGTTCGGGAACGGTGGAAAGTTAGGATTAGGCGGGAATGGTCCAGATATACCCGGAATGGGGAAGGGCATCTGGCCCGGGTTTTGAGGAAGGAGGTGCTGAGGTGGCGGAGGATGGGGTATTGCGCCGGAAGACAGCAGAGCAGCAAGGCGACCGGGGTCGATATGAGGCATGGATGAAGGTATATCGACGGGAAGCGGCGGTGGTGGTGGATGTACAGCACCAATTCCAGGAATCAAGCCCGGTAGACCGGGACCATCTGGAGGCGGCATACCCTGAATACCGGGTAACAGCGATTCAGGTCGTTTTTGATCCACCAAACCCTCAGCCTCATCCTGAATTTCTTGCTCCTCTTCTTCTCGCATCTGCCGACGACCGAATCCACGATTCCATGTCCCTTGAGCTTCGGCCGCTTCTTCGCCAATGTGAAATCTGTCTTTCAGATAGGTAGTCTCGCCAGGCCGAGTCCTAGACCAAAACCGGGTAAAGTTATCCTTGGACCCAGATGCCAAGATGTGGCCTAGAGGATGCCAATCGAGTGACCAGATGGTAGAACTGTGGGCAAACTGTATGCGATGGGCCGGGAATATCACTTGGGCAGGAGTGTTGCTGGGATCGGTAGTATCGTATGGTGCAACGGTGGGAACCTGTCCGGCTGGCAAATTGGGCTCATCCAATAGGTAGTGATATAAAGATCCGTCCTCACTTCCCGTTGATACAAGGGTACTGTGGATAGGGTGCCAGGTCAGGGAAGAAATGGGTTTCTCGTGGCCTCGGAGAATGCAGATATCTCGCATCATTCGCAGATCAAAAATGCGTCCGGTCTGATCTCGCGAAGACGTGGCGAGGAGATTATTGTTTACTCGAGAAAATTTCGTAGTTGTCACTGTATTTTTGTGACTATGGAGAGTAGTGAGACATCTTCCTGTCCTGGGGTCCCAGAACTTGACCTGGTGGTCTTTCGAGCCCGAGACGAGAAGTCCTTTAGTGGGATGCCAATCGCAGGATTTGACATCCCACCCATGACCTGCTAATACCAGTTCGCAGGCTCTTGCGTTAAAGTCGAAGATCTTCAATGTCGTGTCGTCAGAGGCGGAAAGAAACCTCGTATCGTTAGGACACCATGCCAAGTCCCGGACGGCATCGTGGTGGGCATCATCTACGGTCTCAACGTTGTTAAAATTTGGTCGCCAATATTTAACGTCGCCCTTTTGACCACCAGATATCAGCCATTCATGACTATGTGACCATTCCGCCGACGTGACTCCCGCTTGGTATTGATCGTAATGGGCCTGTGGGTTGTAATCTATCAGCCGAACGTGTCACGGCCGCAGACACTTTTCAATCAAGGGATCTTACGTCCATCACTGTTTCAAAATTGAAAGCTGTACCGTTCCATAGCATGAATTCTCCGGTATGTCCACCAGTCAATAATCGTCGACCCTCAGGTGTCCATCTCACGACCGTAATTGGCTTCTTCGACTTCCCGATCGACTGATGTAGGTGCCGTACAGGAATTGTGTCTGCAGGAGAATGAATAGCGGCAAAAGGAGGGAGCATCTATAATAATAGGTATCTGTCAGCGTCTTGAGAGTTGAACCAGCTCTCTTCGGAACGTGGACAGCTGCTTACATCCACTGTATAACTCGCGCTCGGTCGCTCCCATTCTAACCGATGGCCTCCTTTGTATTTCGGTTGGCGCACACGCATCCATTGTACTAGCGACGAGCCGTAGTCCGTCACAGGTCCTGGTGTTGATTAGTACATGGGATTCAGAATCCTAACGGTCGGCTGGGGTGCTGACTTGGTCTTCGCGGTCCGAGCGGCCGGGGAATGAACGAGCTTTCTGTTGCGCCTTCATCGTAAAATGCCATCTCTGATTCCGGGTGCAGTTCTCCGTGCGAAATCGCGAAGATGTGCGGTGGTGAAGAAGCGAGTCCGGTTTGATGATGCTTCTCATGAGAAAAATTGGACGTGAAGAAATTCAACGATTGACAAAGGCAGAGCAATATTTAACAATACTATCCCGCTTTCATTGGATGATTGGACGCCATATACGTCAAACTTCCCGCTGTTTCAATTCAGATGCAAAGGACATCGATTGATCAGCTCGACCTTGACGCCGAAAATGATCGCCACTCTTGTTAGCGCGAGCGTATCCAGCATGGAACCAAGAAAGCATAAATTAATACCTCCCCTTGCTGGCTCGGACTCCCCCTCCAAAACCCCAAATTCCACCCGTGGAACTGTCGCTCCGCCTCCCGGTAAACAGTCATGATGACCTGATTTCGAGCTAGGAATGAATTCGAGCTGTCGGCGTATAATGACCACATAACACAACTTATCTTCAACATCTAGTTACTCTGCTTGAAGATCGCTCTCTTATCAGCGATGGTTGCAAGCTGCTGCAGCTCTATTTGCCCACATGCTTGGAAGCCGAGCGAAATGAAAATCTTCTCATCGCATTGCACTGTCTCTTTCGTTTTTCTCTGATTATTCACCGCTCACATTGAATATGGCTGGCCTCTCAGCCCTTTCTACTCCCTCAGCTCTTTCATGCACGAGCAGCACGTTATCCACGCCTCCAACAACCTCGGAAGAAGAATCCCCTAAAAGGCTACAGAGAGTGACGCACGGGTCGAATCGAAGAAGCAAGTATCGCCATGTCGCTGCCTATCACTCAGAAATACGACCATCATGCCTAAGCCGCGAGTCAAATGCCTCACCAAGCTTCTTTGGTTTCCGGAATCTGATGGTGATCGTGCTGAGTGAGCCTCAAATCCCCCCCCTCCCCGCTCCCCGATGCACGTGAAAGACACTGATCAGACTCCCATGTAGTTGTTATGAATCTACGGTTGGTTATTGAAAATTTCATGAAGGTCCGCTTGATGTTTTGACCCCAGCTTGCTCGAAGCCTTTACTAACGATAGCACTAGTACGGAGTTTTGATCTGTCTGCGCTGTCACGATTATCGAAGACAAGATCTCATACTTGGAGTCCTTCTCTTCTCGCTGGTCCCCTGTCATCTCTTCATTGCGTATTTGATAGAGCTGGCCGCTGCGCAGCGAGTGAAAGAAGTAATTGGTCTCAGGAAAAAGATTGACGGCCGCGAGGCACGGCAGCAACCAGCCGCTCAACTTGCATGGTCATATATCGCTATCGCGCACACGGTGAATGCCACTCTGTGTCTCTCGCTGACATCTTATGCTGTCTATTTTTACATCAACCACCCTGGCATTGGAACTTTGTGCGAGGTCCATGCCATCGTCGTCATGTTGAAGAATTGCTCGTATGCCTTCACAAATCGCGACCTTCGCCACGCTCTTCTGCATCCATCCCCGGAGAACAATCTCCCAAAAATATATAATAGCTGCCCGTACCCACAAAACATTACGATCAAAAACCTGACGTACTTCTGGCTGGCGCCCACCCTTGTCTACCAGCCGGTATATCCCACAACAAGTTATATTCGATGGAACTTCGTTGCAAAACGGGTTGCCGAGTTTTGTGGACTCTCCGTGTTTATGTGGATCATATCTGCACAGTATGCCTCGCCGACGCTATTGAATGCACTCGAAAAGATCGCGTTACGAGAATGGGCGTCCATTGCAGAACGAGTTATGAAGCTGTCAACAATTTCCCTTGTGATCTGGCTTGCTGGATTCTATGCGCTCTTCCAATCATTCCTCAATGCGCTGGCGGAAGTTATGAGATTTGGTGATCGCGAGTTCTATACGGATTGGTGGAACAGTCCTAGCGTTGGTAGGTACTGGCGAACATGGAATATTCCTGTCTATCAATTTATGAAGCGACACATTTTTTCACCGCTTGTCGGACGAGGCTGGAGTCCCTTTACGGCCAGCGTAATGGTGTTCACCGTTTCGGCAGTACTCCACGAATTGGCAGTGGGAATTCCCACGCATAACATAATTGGTAAGGTCACCACTTGCTTTCGTCCCATTCTCATTTTGTTTTCTTACCACCGTCTCTGACGTACCAACAGGTGTCGCGTTTGGGGGTATGATGTTTCAACTTCCCCTTATAGCGGTGACTCTGCCGCTGGAAAAGATGAACAGTCAAACGGGGAAGATTTTAGGCAACGCTCTCTTTTGGTTGAGTTTCTGTCTTGTCGGTCAGCCGCTGGCAGCGCTGCTGTATTTCTTTGCCTGGCAAGCCAAGTATGGCAGTATTAGCAGAGCGGCTAAATAATTGGTGCATTGCTTTTTACGGTGGAATTCACTTGGTGGTTTATAATGATAATTCGTAACCCCGTGACTACGGAGGGTACTCCCTGATAGTTATACTCTGTGTGGGCTTGGATATGCTATGAAGCAAAGGTCGCAGATGAGTTCAAGCAGATTAGATTACCGAATGAGCTGGTCGCATGTCGGCTGTATTAGTTATTCCATGAAGAGAGATCCTGGAGTACCCTGTATACTCACTGGTGCTGAGTCCATGTGAAGATCGGTAATCCTGCGCGCGCGTCGGCCTTCACCGGCTCCGGGGCGCGTTAGCTTGTGTTAATTGTGCCGAACGGAACAACACAAAAGCCCGTCTAGACGATTACGAAGCTTTCCATTTGCTGAACCAGCACCCTTGACTTCAGACTCCGCACAGTGGAAACTTCAAGACAGATAACCCATGGAATCTTATCCCCGAGGCGCAGTGAAGGCGCCCAGGCAGCTATAAGATGACATAGTAGTTGCCTCAGCCTGGTGGATTGCAGGGGAATAAGCTGAAATGGACAGGTGTTGATTTCAAAGCGTCTCATCTCACTCTCCAAGAAGCTTTAATGTAACTCACTACGCTAGCTCCTCCATCATTAATGATTCGTGAACAACTCATTCTTTGAAGTTGGTGACCGATCCCAAGCTCCAGGAAGATCTCTCTTCATCCCCAACAGCTTTAAAAGCCCGCATAACCCCAGCTCTGAGAACTGTTCAGTAACCAAACACTGACAATGGCATTGACATTCACCCTCCCGAGCGACTATGGGTATGTATTTTGCTCCTCCAAGTTCTAATGCCTCAAATTTCGTTGTTGCCCCTTTATGACCGAGACGTATTTCCTATGAATCCACGCATTTTAAGATGGCCCAATAAATATGCAATGCCTCGAATCTAACATGCGAATCTAAATATTTGCTAACCAATGTTCACAGCAACGTGGCTGCTGTCGCCCTCGGCGCAATTCCCTTCCTAGGCTTTGTGCACGGCTTTATCACGACAGGCCTTCGTCGACCTGCTGGCGTCGAGTACCCTAACGCCTACGCAACCGCAGAGCAATGTGCAAAAAATGTAATTATCCCTTCTCTCGGCCTCCATCACATTTCTTATCCCCTTCACACCAAGAGCAAAACCTAACCCTATTCTCTTTCTACAGCCTGCAGCCTACAAATTCAATTGTGCTCAACGGGCACACGCCAATTACCTCGAAAACATGTCCCAGACCATGGTATCCATTCTTGTCGCCGGTATTAAGCATCCGCGTCTCGCAACGCTCCTCGGAACAACGTGGGTCGCTCTCAGAGTACTGTTCCTTGCCGGATATGTATATTCAGGGAAAGAGAAGGGCAATGGACGCATTATCGGTATACCCTTCTGGTTTGTCCAAGGCGCACTCTGGGGTATTAGTTTTCTCGGGATGGGATTTCCAGGATATGACTTGATTTTGAGGAAATAGGGGCCCGAATTGTTGGAGGGTTGTCCCCTGCCGACAAATTGAGGATGTCATATATTTACATAACACAAACGATTAATGTATTTTATCCGCACGGTATAATAGCAGAGTGTTCAACTCGAAATAAGATGGGATCTTTGTTCAAACTCGGGAGAGAGGCTCGCAAGTCGCCGATTGACTGGCCTTTGGAAGTCTTCCCCGCAACCCTCGCACCTCAACGCAAAACAAACCACCACTGAAAAAGTCGGTGTTATATCGCTCTACTGAAGCACAGCAAAACGAACAACAGCTAGACTACTCCGTGCAGGCCAATTCATCTCGCCGGGTTAAATCAATCTCAGCTGATTTCTATTCATCCAGTCTGCAGCCAACATGGCCTCCAAATCACAAGTCCCGTACGAAGACCGTGCGCGCGACCATCCCAATCCACTTGCACGACGATTATTTCAGATTGCGACCGAGAAACAGTCAAATGTCGCGGTCTCGGCCGATGTCACAACTACAAAGGAGCTCCTTGACCTGGCTGACAGTATGATTCTTATTGATCCTCCCTCACTTTCTCAGTTTTCAAACCCGTTCGACAACTTGCCCCGCCCCCACCTCATCAATGTGCGTAACTCTGCATGCTGATAAGTAGGACTCACTGGACAGGACTCGGCCCCTACATGGTCGTTCTAAAAACTCACATCGATATCCTCGCCGACTTCTCCGCCGAAACCATAACCGGACTCCAATCCCTTTCCCAGAAGCACAACTTCCTGATCTTTGAGGACCGGAAATTCGTTGATATTGGCAACACAGTGCAAAAACAATACCATGGGGGCGCACTCCACATTTCGGAATGGGCTCATATCGTTAATGCAACCGTGCTTCCGGGCCCAGGTATCATAGATGCCCTGGCGCAAGTTGCTTCTGCACCAGACTTCCCCCATGCTTCAGACAGAGGGCTCCTGATCTTGGCGACGATGACATCAAAGGGTAGTCTTGCTACTGGTCAGTATACTGAGTTGTCGGTTGAGCTGGCGCGGAAGTATAAGGGCTTTGTCCTAGGCTTCGTGGCCAGCAGGTCCTTGGAAGGAGTTGAAACGGCTGGAAAGGCGGATGATGAGGATTTTGTCCTCTTCACGACAGGTGTTAACCTTGCTTCCAAGGGTGATGCATTGGGACAGCAGTATCAGACCCCTGAATCAGCCATTGGAGGCGGTGCGGACTTTATTATCAGTGGACGCGGGATCTATGCGGCTCCTGACCCGGTTGATGCCGCTAGGCGGTATCAAAAAGCGGGCTGGGATGCTTATTTGAAAAGAGTGGGCAGATAAAATAGAGAGGATTTTTGCTTCCTGCTCAGGATGTGGCGCGCAGCTTCAGAACGAGCCGGAATAGGGGCACCATCAGCATCTTGATGTTGATACAAGCCTCATCTATGTGTTCGATATGCCCTTAACTATTCGTATAATATTCAACTCTACCCTAAGTTGGTACCGCTGGCATAGTTAATTCTCAAAGGGCAATGGTAATATCTACCGAACTATCTCTCTTGTCCGTTATTGGGGCTAGACAAAGCCCACAACGCCATATATCAAAAACTAACCAACATCCATATTCTCTGTACATCACTAGGCCTTTGTTCCCGAAATGCTGTTGTCGTGATTGGAAGGGTTGTTTAGGCGAAATTTTCGGTTGCTAACGGGAATTTGACTAGCTATCCCGTGCGAGCACTACGAAGACGGGACAGACTGTTCTGGATGGCGTTGCTCTATCAGCATGGCATCAATACCTCGGGCCTAGCACATTTGCCTGGATCGGCGAAATCTAAGAGCCACGATTCGCCAAGTTCTTTTTTCTCCACGTTTCAACGGCTGCTCCCTCAACAAGTTCGTTGAGGGGATGGCAGCTGTTCCAGTTGACATCTCCACTTGAGAGCAGGGATCCCCTAACAATCCCAGCGTCAAGCACTCATTGAGATGCAGATACCCCAGAAACACAGAGAGCTATTCTTCAGGTGCATCACAAGGAGCACAGAGGTGGCCCAATAAGATGATTAGCTATGCCAGTAAACAAAGCGGAGTAGCGATCCTACCCGTGAGACGATACCACCCTGTCCTCCTTTCCATACTATATATACCCCGCATTTCCCTTTAGAATCGGCGTTGATCGCAATTGGAATTAACGCCCAAGAAAAGGGAAAAAAAAAAAAAAAAAAAAAAAAAAAAGAGAAAGAAATCAATACATGATGGCGACCGACAGCAAAAAGCCGGGTGCAGCCGTATCCGTTGAGGCAGCAGTGAATCGTGATGTCGAGAAACACGATATCGAGAAGAATAACGAGGAATGCTCAGATGCTGCGGTTGTAAAGCCGGCGCGAGATGCGGACGAGGCGATGAAAGCTTTTACCGACACTGATGGCGAGCCACTCGTTTTGACAGAAGAAACGAACAAGAGACTGCTGAGGATCATCGATTGGCATCTTATGCCGCTGATGTGTGTTATATATGGCCTGAACTACCTCGATAGTACGTGATGTGGTGGTGAATTTAGGATGCCTCTTCATATGGCCATTGCGAACGCTGATGGTTCTTTGACTTCGTATCACAGAGACAACTCTCTCATACGCGAGCGTCATGGGGCTAAAAGAGGATATCCATCTTGTTGGCGACAACTATCAATGGCTTGGGAGCATGTTCTACTTCGGTATGCAAATTTTCATCATGATATGAATCCTGGAATATACGCAAAGATACTTTGTTTGACAAGACCTGGGGGGTAAGGTTATTTGGCATGGGAATGGCCCACCACTCGACTGTTGCAACGACTGCCATTGGCAAAATACTCAGCTTTTTGCATGGTGGCCTGGGGTTTGGTGCTCACATGCTTTGCTGCCGTGGAAAACTTTTCTGGCGCTGTTGCTCTCCGGTTTTTCCTTGGAGTATTTGAAGCTGCAGTGACTCCCGGTTTTGCGCTCCTCACATCCCAGGTGCGTGACACGGCTACCATCGGCGTAGATAGGGCATTTTACCTGCTATCAAGCATTTATTGATATAACAATAGTGGTATACCAAGCCTGAGCAGGCAATCAGAGTGAATCTCTGGTTCTCCTTCAACGGTTGGGCGCAGATCTTTGGGGCCGTTCTCGCATATGGTATCGCTGTCGGATCACGCATCCATGGAAGCACCATCGCGCCTTGGAAAACTCTTTTCATCTCCACTGGACTTTTGACCGTATCAATGGGATTATTATTTTGGTGGTTTGTTCCTGACAACCAGCTGAATGCGAGATGGCTTGACAAGGAGGACCGTACACTAGCCGTTGAACGAGTCCGGGTCAATCAGCAGGGGATTGGAAACAAGCAATTCAAAATGTATCAGCTCATAGAGGCCTTCACAGACCCGGTAACTTGGGCGATTGTGTTTTATGGGATTGTCACCTCGATTCCCAATGGTACGCGGTTTTGATACCGTTCAAGAATTCCTTTTTCTTAAAAAAAAAGATCGCTGATTGTGAACAGGGGGAATCACTAATTTTTTCAACCAACTGGTGAGTATTACCGAAGAAAGATGATTCTCAACTATTTAAAATTTGTCTCACATCTTTCTAGATTGTGAGCTTTGGCTATACACCTGAGCAAAGTCTGCTCTACGGTGCCCCCGGAGGAGCTGTGCAAGTCTTGACGCTTATGATCAACGCCGTCGCAGCGCACTATTTCAAGCAGCGACTTATTGTTGCAACAGGAGGGTTATACTTAGGAATTCTCGGCGTAATATTAATGATAGCTCTACCTGAGTCAAATAACACAGGACGCCTGGTTGGATACAGTCTCACTCTGTCTGTCACTACCGCATTTGTATGCATGCTAGCGATTATCTCGTCCAATGTGGCAGGTTATACCAAAAAGACCACTGTTGCTGCCTTGTTCCTTATGGGATATTGTGCTGGAAACATCATCGGTTAGTCAATCCCAAAAGGAAAGGAAACAAAGCCAAACGATTTCGAAATATTAATTGAGGTCCCACGTCTAGGACCCCAAACCTTCCGTCCAGAGCATGCACCAGACTACGTCCCGGCAAAAATCACCATATTGACCTGCTGGATCCTGTGTATCTTCGATTTGTATTTTATCCTGTGGTGGTATCGGCGGGAAAATGCAAAGAAAGCTCAGATCAGAGCTCAGCCAGGATACGTCAAACTTCGGAACCAAGAGTACGTAACTCCCTAGAGATATCACATTGTCATTAAACGGGGAGAGCGCGAAAGCTGACCTTTCCCTTTTCTTTTTTTAACAACAAAATACAGATGGCTAGATCTCACCGATAGAGAAAACGCTGAACTGATATACGTGTTGTGAGTCCTGTGAAAATGGGCTGTAGGCATTGCTTCCCCAGGGACATAATTTTAGGAGATTCTGGTGATATCTGTTGCACATAAATTAATTACAACTTTCAGCTTCGGAAGCTTTTCCTCGCATACATCTCTCGCAGCAAGTATATAAACGACATCCTTCAACCTGGTGGACGAGCGGAGGAAAAACAAGTCTGAGGGAATACCATTGCTGTGATAGGGGCCTCTCGAGACCTTTATCACCTTATAGGAACTAATATGTGCATATCTGTAAACCAATAAGAATATCATGACATAACATCTCTGATAGCATGATTGAAGCCTCCTATAACTCAAGAGGAACGCTATGCCAATCGTCCTTCCAGTTTATCGTGCTACCTGGCCAGATCCTTCGATATACCTGCTCGTAGAAAGGGTGTTGGAACGGTTGAAACCTGTCTCTCCACACCCTGTCCACCGCCCCAAGCTCTCTCACGATAATGTTGTCATGACCATCTCTTGGACCTGGATACACTGCCACTTGCGAAATAAGAATTGAACGATAGCATCCAGGTCGGCTGTGTACTCTACCCCCAAATTGCCGAAGTCGAATATTACTGCCTTCAAACGTTGGAGAGGAGGAAACTCTCGTGGGCTCGCTTCGATAATAGTTCGAAATATAGAATAGATTAAAGGTTCATAGATAGAAGCGTTAATCAGAATATCTTGAATATCTGCGTAGCCTAACGGAGAAGTTGGCTGTAGAGAGGATCCCCCTTTGCGCCAGTCATAGAAACCTGAGCAGTCAAAGAATATTTCGAGCTTTTTGAGCCGCGGCATCTGGGCAAGGGCTCGGTGGATCTCCACTTCCCGGAAATCCCCATTGGTGCGCGGAATAGACACAGTTAAGTCTTCAATGCGTGGACAATATGCTAAAATGCTATCAATTTTCTCTCTGGTCATGACAAATGGCCTGACCGCTCTTTCAGCGCCTGGCAGGATGCAAAGCCGACGCAGGGTCCCGTGCTCCAAGATTTCTTGGAACGACATATCTCCACAGTAGCGCATCAATTTTATACTATCCAGTGAAGGGAGCGCCCGGAGGAGAAAGCTGGCTTTCTCATCCATGAGACAATTATCACCCCAAATGCCGGCCTCTAAACGTAGATGCAGCGATTTGAGAGACCTAAAGTCGCAACGTCTTGCCCATCCGAGCAACCTTATGTCAATAATTGTCGCTACTTTGAGGATGCGCAGCTCAGAGAACGCGGTAACCTTGCTCCAAGATTCAAGATTCAAGGTCCAAGTGGGAGGTCTCGATATTGCCGTCGAAACTTAACACTTGAAGATGCCCAGGCTGCCCAGGGACGTCCGTATGCTCCAAAGAACGGTTACAACATGGTGGTCTTATGATCACTGGCTTATTAAGAGGCTGCCCAGCGGAGTGTAGAATTCCTACTGTTTTCAACTTTGGAGCCATCTCAATGATTTTCATCAGCACTTGCTCGTTATATATCCACATGTGGTTGCGGGCACGGACAAAGGGTCGCACTAGAATGCTGTAGGAATTGAGAGGTAGCAAGTGTCAACTCATATTGATCTATAACATTCTGCTGGCCCTCCTCGGTACGATGACAGTCTAAGAGCCGAAAGGAGCGGATATGGAGCCTACACCCATGTAAAGTTTCGTGCAACACGTGTAACAGCTGGGACCCTATTTGGGGAGTCATATATTAAGTTTTTAAGGCCAGGGAGCCGACGAATAAAGTCGGCGAGAGGCTCCCATGCTTCATCCTCTGCTTAAATTTCTCCTTCAGGCATGTTGTCAGGATGGAACAGGGGTACGATATGCTAAATCAAAAAACTTATCATCGACGTCGTTGGGATTTTCTGGTGCAGGTGGCGCCAAACCCAGTGGTAAAACAGCCTGTGGCGTCCGGAAGGCAGCGTGCTCGAGCTTAAGTTGACGTACATGGCGAAAGCTGCCTCTCTCCTTAAGAGTGTCGTCCAAGCGTTGTAAGTCCGCCCTCAGCCGCTCGCCGGTCAACAAAACAAGGCGAATATTCCGGAACCGTCGCAGATCCGCTATAGAACAACATTCTCTGCTTGCAAGAGCCAAATTAAACAAGCTTTGTATGCATTCAGAAGCGAGAAAATCACAAACATTGTAAAGAACTTCCAAGGGTATAAGTTCAAACTGAGAACGCGCCATAAAGTAAGCCAGGTGATAAATCGATAGGTAGAGAATATTGACGGGTAGCCCGCGGAAAACAGTGCGTGAGGCAAGATAAGGTGACCTCTGGATTAGATTGGGAGACGGAGACGCGCCTAAACGTTACAGGGCCCGCTCTACCTGAGCATCATGGTGCTCAACGGTATGATGCATTCCTTTAAGCATAGTGTTCGACGAAGATGCCGAATTCAGCCAATTCTCTTCGCTCAATCTGGGCAGCGAAGCAACGAAGCAATTAACGTGATATCATAAAATAGCTGCTTCTGTGTAAGGTCCCGGGCCTGACTCGCTGAGGTCAAGAAGAGCTCGGGTAATACGTCGGGAGCGGATCTGCATCCGAAGAAGAGAGTAACTTGATGCGAACAAAATGACGCGAATGCATTGTGTTCGTGCGCCGCTCTTTTTTCTGAGCAAGTCGAACCATCGTTCATCGTGAAAGGGTTGGAAAGTGCTTTTCAGCGCGGTATCGTGTCAGCAGCTGGGACCGGGATTGCGGGAAGGCTTCGCTCGTCCCAAAGCCAGGCCCGACTGGCTCGCCGAGACCGCTCGCCAAATAGCCATGGTATGCTGCGAGATCACGTCTGTGTCCACGCTCTGTTGCTCACAGTCTCGCCCTCGGTGGGCCTTGAGCCGTGGGGGTATTTAGTTCCACAGAACGACGCTTTGTGGCGGTCTAGACGGGAATGTGTGCAACTACAATGTCCCTGTAACCGAGCAGAAGAGACAGTTGTATTATTAATTACCGTAAGCAAGACATAGTGGAGGATAAACATCAAATACAAAAAGTCACTCTCAGTCCTCTGTTGTTTATATTGTTCAAATAGAATATATTTCATATCTGGGGAGTGTAAACGGATCAGGGTTTTTGATGTCTCAATCCGTTCAGCTAATCCTGAAATACCAGTGCGTTGTTAAATTGAACAGGAGTTGTTTTCATGCTAGCAACGAACGCAGTGTGGGACTCCAAATTAGGGTTTTCACACCTCAGAGTTGACTGGAAGAGAAGATATGGATGAATGTCCTCTGAAGAGCATAAGTGGTTGGATTCTTTTGCACAACAGCGTCTGTCGACAGCACTTCATTTGGCTAAGTTGTTGTCATGTCTGGACTTTCAACAAGGATAGTAAAGTCTTGCCAGGAGCTCGAGTGTATGAGCCAATACTTGTAAGCCTGACAGGGCCATTCAAATTTGATGGAGACACAGTACAGGGTAAATGAGATGCAACTGACCCCCCCAGCCGTATCTGTAATTGCTATTGTTGAATCTGCGATGATGGGAGTACCGACTGCATACTCGCCCCTTACGATAAATTCATTTGCCGAGTTCCCTCTGAATAGAGATTCCAACATTCAAGTGCATCCAGATGACGCCAAAGACAATCCAAAGCTAGTTGCCATGCTTCAAAATCACAGGGACTTTCTCTTTGGTGGGCTCAGCAAAGTCCATGAGGGATCCAAATACTCAGCCTGGAAGCGCCCTGAAGCTTGCAAAACAAAGATGGGTCGGACTCTCTTCCGTACATGGATCATCACCCTTCGGCAGTGCGGCACCAGATATTGTCGCAGCAGCAGCGTTGTGCTACTCAATATGGAATCCAGCAAAGTGTCGAAGCCCAATTTTTGTGAACCAGACTTCATATCTTCAGCTCAAAAATAAGTTGACCCGAGAAGATCGTGGTTCGAGTGTGAGCTTGTCACTGCAAACCGTCCAAAAAAAAAAAAAAAAAAAAGACCTTTCAAAGCAGCAAACTTTGACACTAATGCATAATAGAATTTTGTGTTTGCGATCTGAGAATGGGCTTCCGGAACATGAGTTGTAGACTGGTTTTCTGTGCGGGCACTCCTGGCTGATGAGGAGCACTGCTGTCCTGGTGCTGACTGATTCTCATCCTGGAGATGACCAAACGAACATTATTCACAGTCGGGTTCTCATAGTTAACTTGTCGAGATGCCCCAAACAACAGCGGGAAGAACATGCGGGCTGCCAACCCCTCCCGGCCCGGGCATTTTTCTTTTTTTGCCCCTGCATTGCCGTCCACGTAAGGAGAGGTTGATTAGCGCCAGCTCGGGCCCCGTCGTTGGGCGGCAATGGGCGATCTATTTCCGCACGCCCTCGTCCATGCCAGAGATCCGCTGCCGGGACCAGCTCCGCGCCGGGTGATTCGTCGCAGGCCGTGCTGGCCCACGATGCAGTGGCTGTCAGCAGGCCCAGGATTGGCCAGCGAGTCATGTGGCTCTAAGAGTTTCTGTTCGTCCCGGCGAGAACGTGGGCGATTTTCGCTGACAACAAGCAGACCAACCGGTGAAGCCCATCAAATCATCGCAGGCAGATGGAGTACCCCGCTCTCGAACATGAAGCATTGTCCTGTCGAAAATGCGGTCACCGCTCCTGGCGCTGCTTTTTCGATTTTATTTTTAAAACAAACATGCCGCCGGGTCCTTCATCTCTTTTTCTGTCTGGACTGCGCGATTTGCCCTGGAGCAAGGCGCCAAAGGGTGCTCAAACCTCCGTTTCAACTGGGAGTCTGCGTTCATGCATCTTCATGGAGAAAAGCAAAGCCTGATTGACTGCTTTGTTTGCACTGTCCATTCATTTGATCCCCCTCTGCTTGACAGTTTAGCTCCTGGGCCAGTGACGTTGGTTGGAGTGAAGCTGGGCTGACCTCTGCGCGCTTCACATGCTAAAACTCCCCCTCCTCCAAGCTCAGGTCTGTCTCTCTCTTAAAGGGGTGCCTGAGGTCAACTATAGCCTTTTAAGTTTGATGTATGTCTATCCTGCTTCTGAGAGTGAAGAATATCACATGTCTCTCCTGCTGACACCTTCACAGGCTACTTGTTGTTTGGTGACTTCCTTCAGTTTCCCAGAGGCACTCGCCGCTTCACCACGCAATGAAACGACATGGCAGCGCTCACATGCCCTGAGGACGACAAACTTAATCATGGCTCTGCTTCAACAAGAAGAGACCCTCCAGTTGAATCCAAAGCTCTATACCTACCAACTGCCTTTCAGTACAATGTTTCCACAGACCACAAACTGGATATCGCGGTCTCGCCTCTCCTCCTAGCTGGCGCCCTCCCATCGCCCTTGAGCTTCGCCTCCGACACAAAGACCTTTTATACTGCCTTCGAGGTGACCAACATCTCTCCTCGATCACCGACCTTTCCTGATTCTCAGATGCCTAGTCCGCTGCTTGCCTTTTCTAGAGAGTGTGTTCACGACCAGGACGATATGCAGAGCCCGGTTGAACCACCCAGCCAGAACCCCTCTGCGGGCGATGAATTACCGGCCCCTTCAGGGCAGGATCCAAAAAACGACCATAAGTCTCGCCGAAAACTCGCAGATTCTTCAAAAGAATATCGCCCGAGAACCCAAACACCAACCACATCCAGATCGTCTTCTGTATCTGGTTCGAGATCCGCGTCACGTCGCAACCAATCTGCCTGCCATCGCCACCCCCATTCGTCGAAAACACATTCATCAAACCGCCGCTTCAAGCTCCACAGAGAGGAACGGGACTTGGTAGCGCTTCATCGCGAAAGTTGTCGGTTGTTTGAGTCTTTCGGTGTCACACAAAAATCAACATCCCAACCGCCAAACGATCTCCTGGACAGCGTGATACCTCGGCCTACTCGTACCTCTACAGAACCTACGCAGCGTGGCCATGCCACGATAAGACAGCGGCTTCCAAGGAGAAATTCAGCAGAATCGCCGTCTTCCGTTCCACTTTTGCATTCCAACCAACCACCATTATCACCGGCATCGTCGGAAGATCTTTCGCCAAACATGGAGAAGTTACATCACTGGGACCCAGTCCCTCCGCCCCAGCTGCCCGATGACACACAGCCATCAGGTATCGTCCCGGCTTACAAAGTGATACCTCCCACTGTGATGCATTGGACCTCTTCATCGACTCGCAGGCGTGAATACGAGAAGATTGACCGTTCCTGTCGCGGGATACGTGGGATGTGGCGACGATTCGCTCCAAAGTGGTGTCAAAGCAAGAGCCAGCGCATCCCATTTTTCGATGAAACCAAAGGTGGGAAGCAGCTGTACGAAGGCAGTGTGCGACGGTTCAGGATAGATATTCCCGATGAAGACGTCGACGAAGGGCAGGGTCCACAGGTGATTGAGAGTGAATTGAAGGCCAAATCTGGTTTCACGAAAACAAGAATTTTGACGAGCGACGATGATTCTGACGATTCCGCAACTCGGCACTGTTTCGGATTCCGACGAAGTTCAAAAGCATAGCCCCTTTTCTAATCGTTTTAATCATTTTTGATTTGTGTGTCTTTCATATCCATGAGATACCCCAAGCTGAGTACTATCATAGAGCGGTTGTTGTCTTCTGGCTTTTTGTTTGGGAAATGTCAATGTTATCCTCTATGTTGCACTATCGCAGGAACCGACCATCTACCATTCAGTATTCCTGCATCTTTCATTACTGCATTACATACCCACCCCTGCCCGGGGAATGTTTTGTTGCATGTTTACAGCCATATTGGCACGAGATGCATATTTTGGAGTTCGCACACTGTTTCTCCCTTGGCTCTTTTCAGAAGACAGAGAAAGTGAGCGTATATGAAATCACATATTTGGTTGCCAGAATTGGCACCATGAATGAATATAAATCATATAGTGATAAAAAAATAAAATAAAATAACAGCAAATGACAATATGAATGACCGCTGTTCAAATAAATGACATTAATCTGCATAAAATGGTATATCCCAAACCAGCTCAATGCTTCGCCCAAAACGCCCACCGAGCGAGGCTCAGATTTATCTATCCCAAAAATAAACAATAATTCCGTGTACCGGGTCTAATCCGTCCCACTGTCCCTGTATGGCGATATCCAGGGAAGAAAGCTTCAGATGGAAGCCTATCAACACAGCTAGGTCGTAGAAATTACACTCGTAACAATGCAGACCGTAAGTCATCATAACAGATCAAAGTCGTCCAGTTTCTCCCGATAGCTCATGATATTCCGTTTTATCTTGCTCGAGTCGACCCAAGTCACATAGTCCTCCATGTTCCTCGTGACCAAGAATGCAGGATCGGTGACGACTTCCGTGCCAACGCGCACATGCCCCTGCTCAATGAATTTGACGGCCTAATTAAAGAAAAGAACGAAATAGTTAGCGTCTCGTCCTATTCATTCTCATAGATGAGTCCTAGAGGGGGAAGAATGAAGGTCACCCACCGTGGACACGTTCTCCACCATCCCCGTCCTCGCCATAACAACACCTAACCTCCTTCTCGCGAACGAGCTCACAGTAACTTCTCTCTCAACCTTACTCAGCCCTGCCCCCTGCTCTCGATTTTGCTTTAGGATTCCCATCGTCCAGAGCTTTTCTAGGACCTGCGCCTCGATATCCTTGCGAAAGGAAGACTCCGGGTCTATGGCGGAGAGTTTATGAGCCAGTTGGCGCAGGGAGCCACAGAGGGCATTGTATTTCTTATAATCTAAGGGACCTTGGAGGTGATAGCGTTGGCGAACGGCGGTTTCGCGGTGGTTGTTATCGGATTTGTAGGTGTAGAGATCGACTTTGCGAAGGAGTCTGCGAAAAGGGTTAGTTGTTCTGGAGTGCTGTGTGGGTGTTGGAAAAGGTGACTTACTTCTTTTCGTGATGCTTTAGTTTACGAACCATTTTGGAAAAGGTATTCAAAAACTCCTATATGCCGGGCGTGGAGGGGATGGCCGTCGAGCTGGTGGTGCGACACGAACGGCTGGCGATGGTTATTTTTTGCATACTGCCGGCCACCAGGTTCAAAGGCGGTGAGTGGACCGACTGGGTGCTAGTTTAGTCTTTCTTGGCACCCAAATTACCCCCCAAATCATAAACTTTTAAATTTGGAGCCGCAGCAAATCTCATTTGTCTTCAATTGCTTTCTGCTTTTTCTACAACGGCCAAGGGAACTCGATGCAGAGACACGAAAAATTGTGGAGCTGTTTATTTTTATTAGTCTTTCATGAAGCGCAAGCCTTCAGGACCTTCCTCCCCTGCAAGCCCTGTTTTCCACAACGCAGGGAGGGCGGGGTAAGCATTGTTCGGGTTACTTGCTGCAACCAATTCCCCAACCATTGACATGAACTCATAGCTTTCAAAAATCCGGTTGCACAGTCGGCCCACATCCCTCTGTCCGCAATGGTTCTGCAAACATGTAAATAGGGACTAACGTCATTCTGGGGCAAAGCTTCGGGGCAGGATGGTAAGGAATTTGCATTCCGAATTCAGAAGATGACGAGGACTCCTCTGTACAGAAGCGTCTCATCCCAGGTAATAATCTTGTATCCTAGACCGGTTCGAGTCGAATACAAGAGTTCATGTATATTCTGGCCACATTGCGGGTCATGCTGATCAAACGCCGCAACGGCGTCAAGACGCTTGACGGGGCAAAATTGCGGGGTGGATAACTTATTGCTGTACGTCCGAAAGCCCGCAAAACGTCAGAGCATCCGTTCCCTTTTATCAAAATCGAATAAAAAGTGTCCTCTACAGGCATGTCCTACCCGCTGGCGGCTTGAATTGCGAGCGATTTCGTGGCCAAAATCCCGCCGTAAATTAAGGCCGGGAACACTTCTACGACATGACTGGTCGGCAGTGCAAAGAACCCTGATATTGGAGACAATCCTTGATGCGTCGTGAGAAGAGCAATTCTCGAGGTAACGGCCTCTTTCAGAACCCAACGAGGTCTAGAATCTTTGCGTGCAATCACCTTTTGCCACAACGTCTTCTACGAAGCGCCACCGTCGGGATCGGAAAGGTTACAACCATGGGGTGATCCATTGACTTCGGTTAAAGGCTTCCCTCACGCCTTTCCCAGTGGCCTCCAGAATTCGGACATCATCGCACCCATCACTTGTCCCAAGCATCACTGGGGTGGATTTTTTTTCCAGTCCGTGGGACTGAGTGCACTAGGGCCTCTTTAACTAGGGGTGGACTGATTTAAACTATTGGGATTGGCGGGATGGAGGCGATTTCACTGATAAGCACTTTTTGGTTGCCATCGAGACTCTAATAATTGCTGCCAAGGTTGAATCACGAAAACCTGCCGCTGAGAACTTGATTTGATCCCAGAAATGGGCCCGTGGTCGATATGACGGAGGATTCCGTACGTTTCGAAGAAACCTCATCTGCAAGCGATTATCGGTCGCATACGGAGTATTTGGATGCTGTGGAGGGGAAGAAATATGCCACGTTGGCCTAGCTACCCCTCATTCTCTCTCGTGTTCGTGGTCGAGAAGCAAAAACGCTTCGACGCGATGAAAATGGTCGAAACCAGAGCAGAGCACAGGACTGTCGAGGCGGCGGTGGACAGGATCAGCTTTCTCTTACGTCATGAAGGTTCCACCAGCGGCGCCTGGGCCCTTCTTCGACTTGCGCAACCTTAATCGTGTCTTGGAAAGCCAAACCGATCGTCTTATCTCGCTATTAGGGGGGCGATTCCTGGAAATCATTCGCAGGCCAGCTGCCCTCAATTCAATATCATCCCCCTTCTTTCCCATCATCTTTGCTGCTTTTTTTATCGCTGCTTTCTCTCCCACACAATTGCTACCTTTTTTTCCCCATCGAGTAACACAATACCCTTCTTAAATCCTCTTCAATTGCACAACGTCCGAAACACCTCCGGGACGACTTTTGCACTACCCCTGAGTGAACGACCAGCCACATGCTTCTCAGATCCCCGGAAGCTGTCACCTGAAGCCAACAAAATCATAATCCAATGCTCCCGATGCTCTCTTCAAAAAGTCGCTGGCCACTTACAAGCACGGGCCATTCGCTCACACAACCCTCGACACGATGCAGCTCTCCCTCTCAGCCGGCCATCAACTCTCGACCTCATCCAAACTCTCGATATGCCTCAACCCCTCCAGCCTCATCCCTTTTCTCCGACTCAATTGACTCGAGAATCTCCTCAATGCTCGAGCAAGATATCAATAAATCAAACGATAGCGACTACCAGCTCAAGCTGGCCCTGACAGATCTACTGAACTGCTCCGATATCAAGTCAGACCAAGAGGTGCGGAGATGGGTGCAGAATCGACTGATGGACACGGAGCACCGACTTAAAGCTCGACGCAAAAGCCGCATCATGCGGTGCGAACAATAAAAGCTACTATTTACCCTATCCTTCTTCTCTTGCAAGTCTCCTATCAGCGATGAAAAACGGAGCTGCTTCGGTGTTTTGGGAGGCCTATACGGGTGGCTAGCATTCGATTTTCCGACCAAATTTTTCTTTTCTCTTTTACCGACTTCCTACTTTTTTTAATTCGAGATTTCGCCTCGTTTGGACGTCTATTGAGCGATACATTACCTTGCATAGTGGCAATTTTTCTTTTCAGTGTTGGATTATATTCTCTTGAGGTTTGGAATGGTGTTTGATGTTTCCTTGGCTGTCCATTTCTGCGGTCAGACGACTACCGCGAACGGCAGCTTATTCAATCTCCCAGGGTTGGTCGAGGACCGAGAACATGTTTCAGCACTGCGTCTGTGCAACAGATGATCAACCAGTGTGCTGTATATAGCGTATACTCTTTGCTTATTATTAAAACTATATCTAGGGCAAATAAGCCGATAAAAAACATATTAGAACAGCATTTAATTCTTCAGTTCCTCGACTCTTTGCTGTAGGTACTCCGTTCAAGCACTTTTGTCCTTTCCACCCGCCCAGGATTGCCTTGTGTTGGGGCACCCTGCAGTTTTGTTGGAATATTTTCTAATCAACCTCAAGACTGAATATGCAAAAACTCTATCCGTATATTATATTGACCAGCGTGGTGTTTGGAAGCTGCATCTTATGCTTTAAATTATTATCAACAAAGCTTGGGCCCCTATCCCGAGCCTGCGGTATCCGGCATGGTACAGTACAAGTTTAGAATCTTGTTGACATCAAGCGCGGAGTATGTAGTTCACTCCTTTCGCCAATGATTCGGTCAGGCGCGGAATAGGTTGGAAGATGACAACCTCCACGGGCTAGCCAGGATGTTTGGAAAGTTTTCTGGAAATGTTCGCCCCACAGCGTGATCCACGGCGCTGCAGGCAACCGATAAGATAAGATTGGATCCCGCGGCCACGAAAACTCAAGTTGCAAAAAAAGTTCGTCGAATGAGCGCCCTGCTTTCTCCGGTTCATTGTTATTGAGCTCATATCTTATAATGGAGTGGGGTTACCATCATATTTATCTCCCTCCTTTTCTGCCTTGGTGGCCCCGGCTTGAGAAACCGCCGAGGATGTCACGATGAAGTAGTCTACTGCTTCAATGCAGAAAGATGAATCACAAGACACGACGGTATGAAAGGGCCGTATGAGCTGAGAGGTTGCTAATAGGATTTATCTATACGGAGTACTGATAGCGGACTTGGATGCTTGCTGCATCTTCCCGTGGAAACTTAGATTCCTCCGAACTAAGGAATGATCAACGGATGAAGGAATTATAAAAGTTATCCAAGCCGTTTTTGATGCCGAATGTGGAGTAGACATACTTGGTTATATGCTGAATAAAACACTCGAGGTACGGAGTAGTTAAACGAGAATACCGAAGAAAAGGGGGGCGGAAGAAGAGACAGAAAGTGAGATCGAATAACGAGAAGGGAAGGGAAAATAGCGCACAATGAAACGCAGGCCATTCAATAGCCAAATCATCTACAGAGTACCTCCAACCAGGATAATCAAAATCAACTGCAACCTGAGTATCCAAATTTCATGCAATTGGCGCAATTCACGAACTTGGGCAGGGCTAAATAACCGCAGGTCTCAAGCATATTATATTTTTTTTCGCCTGCTTCCCGTCAATGCCTACCTCGCTGGCAACCTCGTCAAAAGTATGGCACATAACATCAACATAATTCCGAACCACATATGACACGCTGAACCCACAGAGCCGTGAGCCGGCGCCGCAAAATTCTCTGCACATCTGTCGGGGTTTGCGGGTATGTAGTTACCAAGCCTCTGAATGGCAAAAGTTTCTCCCTGAGCAAAGCGGCACTGAGGTACCTGGCCTAATCGATATTCGTGGGTTGGAAGCGACCGCAGAGGTAGTCTATCTGGAACGCATTCTGGACATACAATGTTGGAAGTTGTTGGTGTAGTATCGTGGCTCTTCCTGGTGTCATACCATGTGCTATTCCGAGACACCCTTAAACCTGCCTTTCCTACGTGCAAGAAAGAAGGATATTATCGTGATGGGAATAGGAGAACATATGAACGTCTGCATCATTCAAATTCTTGGAAGCGTGTAAGGTTCTAGCAATGGAATCGTAGGATTGGCGCACGGGAGTGGTACCTCATGGCCGTTTCCATTAGGTAGAGTGAGCAAAGTATTATACAGGTCCACATATGCAATTTCTGTTGAATATAATTCTCCTCATGACTGACAGTGGCTATTAAAAGCGTGGATTTGAAAAAAAAAGAGAAAGAGACAAAAAGAAAGAAAAATTAAGCATCAGGTTAGTATAAATCCAGAATGCGCTTTGTATTGGAAACATCTCTATTGTACCCTGCCTGTCACAATGAAATCTATCGTATACGGTTCGGAGGTATGGAAGCGATGCACCGGGACGAAGCAGTAAGGTATCACCGATATATAGAATACGCCGGTTCGCGGTAGAAGGCGAAGAAAAGAAAGATCAAGGAAACGGGAATATGTACTATTACAATTCATCTCTTTGAGGAATAGGCCGGCCAGAATCCTTTTGCAAATCCACTCCGTGTTTCTTTCTCCACTTCTCGAATAGGGAAAAGAAATCTTTCTCCATCCCTTTCTCCATCTGATCTGGAAGTACGACGGTGTACTCCACATAAAGGTTTCCGAAATCTTCGCCATGATGCTCATGCAAATGGCCTTCGTGCCAAACTGGCATCCCTTCGCCCTTTACTGTCTCAACAGAAAGTGGCTGGACTACTTGTCCTCGCTTTCGGCCAAGTTGAACAATATGCCCATCGAGATGGGTTAAATTCCGAGTCCAATCTCCCATCCAGGCCTCTCGGAGACTGAGAACCTCTTTCCAGAACAAATCCTTGCCTTTCCGGCGGAAAAATGTCCCATCTGTCCTCTCCGCATCGTCATCTCCAAGCTGTGGTTCACTCTCCATCAACACGAGTATTAAATCTCCGGCAACCCAATCCGGACTCTCATCCGCTTCGTTCTCAAAAACTATTTTCGATCCTTTGCCCATTCCGCGTTCAATGGTCGCCGTTAGCGTCACTGGTTTTCGTACTACTCGTTTGCCCTGGCAAACAGGACACGGGTTACGTATTGATTGTCCCTTCCCACCACACTTATCACAGTGCATCTGGACCTGCTGAAATATGCCGGGTGCTAACATGTGCTTCTGAAGCACAACTCCATGCCCGCCACACTTGCTGCAGGTGTCTACTTTTCCATCTGCAGACCCTGAACCTTCACACGTGTCGCAAATTTGTTGCTTTTCGACTTGAAATTCGGCCTCTTTGCCACTGTAAAATGTTTGCAGGGGTACATGCATCCGGACTTCCATATCCGGGCCACGTCGCTGACCCGAATGTCCATAGTGACCTCCGCCGCCGAAGAAACGTGAGAACAAATCAAAAGGGTCATGAGTGGGGGCACCGCCGCCTTCTTTGTGCTGTTTCAGACCCTCATGGCCATACTTGTCGTAGATCTTTCGCGTGGAAGCGGTTGACAGTACATCGTAAGCTTCGGCTATGTCCATAAATTTCTGATGGGCAGATTCATCCCCACTATATATTTGACAGACAAAAACGGTAAGCACCGTCCATATAATTATTTCTTATCCTCAAGATAAATCAAGCGGTTTGACTAGGACAAATGGACTGGAGCTATAGACTTACGGATTCTTATCAGGGTGGTATTTCTTGCTTAGAGTCCTATATGCTCTTTTTATATCTCGCTCTGAAGCTGACTTATCTATTCCCAAAACCTTGTAGTAGTCTTCAGCGCAAAGTGTGAACGGAAGTAAGAAGAGAAGTGATAGCCCTAGGAGAAGTGGTAAGGGGAGCATCATGAAGTAATATGTGAATGGGAGGAAAGCGCCGAATCAAGTCAAGGGGCGCTTTGATATCTCAGCTTCCAAGACACCACGCTTCGCGACGAGGTTTCTCTGGTGGGATCACCGGTTGCTTCCCGTTACTGGTAGCGCAACGTAAGGGACATTTCGCAGCCTAAGGGGAGTGACAGAGGTAACGGTCAAATATGATGTAAGAGCTTTATAAGACCAATCTGAAGATAGCGTGTAAAAATAAGGGAGTGGACAATTGGCCACTTCTCCAATTCGGATCTCGATGATGATTCCTTATTACTGCTAGGTGGCAGCTTTTGCGATAAGCTGGGGCCAGCTCGCTATCATGGATTAATATTATTCCTCTCCGAACATTCGGAGAGGATCATATTTGATCCGAGGCAATCAGCCCACCTGCGACCATGATGGATCCCGACACTGTGGATAAAGCCGATGGCATTCGATTTTCTGATGCATGGCATGGAGGTGGATAGCAGTCATTTGAACTGGTTTATTATTTAACTAATGTACGGGGTAAATCATTCGCAATAGAAGAAAAAGCCAATTCATTAATTCGTGCCCATCATTTTCAGTTAAATTTGAGAGAAACCGAAATCGTTAACCAAAGAATAAAGAAATCAGAAGGAAATAAACATTAAGCTAAAAGGTTTGGCTCGGTTGGCGAGAATGACGTCTTGATGGTGAATAGTCGAAGATCCGATTCCTCCACGTCAGACCAATACCGCCGCTTTCATCTCCAGCGTCGACAATCTCCCCGGCTCTTTCCCCTTCTTCATGCCAGATCTTCATCAAACTGGCTGGCGTATACACATCCTTGAAGATACCCTTGCGATGCGCATCAATTCCCACCCTAGTGTATACATCTGGATCAGACTGAGGAGTCATCCTTGTCAAAACAGCTCTTACAAAGTTCGCAAAGTTATCTGGATCCGAGATTCTTGCTGCGCGCAGCCGTTCGCGCATGAAAACAAGCTCACGATTGACAGCCCGCGCGGTGGCTACAATTTGCTCGGCGATCTTCTTCTCTATTGTGCGACGAACCATGTGCTTGACAAACGGTTTCATCATCCACCAGAGAAAAGCCCACGAGCTTTTCTGGATCGTGTATTCGAGTTTATGGATATGAACTCGGACGGAACGCAGAGCAAAAACTTGCTCTAACCGCTGTCTGCCAACTGCGAACTCTAGGGAGATATCAATCCCGCGCTTGTCAAGGGCAAAACTAGCTATGCCCTCGTCGCCAAAGTACGGTATGTAAGGAGGGGAGTGAACACGGACCCAATATCCAAACTCTTGCGCGCTGATATTCAGTCCATTCATCGTTACATTCACGATGTTGGTCATGTCCGAAGTTGTCTCCTTGGAGTGTGTCTTTCGTAGTTCTAGACTGTTCGTGGTTGTCAAAAGAATGCGATATGGAAGGAAAGACGAAGAATGAAGAGTGTGGCCAGGCTCCAGAATAACATTTTCGAGAAGGAGGTCCATTTCTGGCACAGACATCTCTAGTCTTGGAATTGGGATATGTTGCACGGCTCGTATCAAAAGGGGCAAGAAAATATGCAGGGCATCAGCGGGCAGACGGGACCCCTCCTCACGAAAAGCAGCCACCAAATGGCCCGCTACCTTTTTGGTGGCGGCGACAAGTCTTGCAATGCTTTCATCTTGAGAAGCAGAATAGAAAGCCTGTTTTAGCTGATCGTAGAAATCGACTAGGCTTTGATCAGAGTCAGTACTCGCGTCCTTGAGCTTTTCCCGAAGAGAGCCGATGGAGGTGTCAGCAGAATCGTAAAATCCTGGGTTAGTTAGTAGGCTAAAGAGGGTGAAACCGATATTTTCAAAAGTTTCCTTAAACCTTTCATCGTCTTGATAATTTTCCATCAGCTTTTGAAACTTTTGTTCCAGGAGGCTCCAGTCCTCCTGACAACCGAAAGAAGATAGAAATGACCAGAGTTTTCTCATCGTTTTGGCGAATTCGGGGTTAGTTTCTATATTCTCTTCAATATCGATAGCCATCGACCCTGTGGCGCGGTAATATATCATGGAATAATGTTGGATTATTCGGGATATTGTGTCCGCGGAGTTGGAATAATCTTCCCTTTTGCGTAAACTATCCACTGTTTGTTTAATACGATGCAAAAGAGACTCTTTTTGTTTTTCAGCTAAGTTCCTCTTCATACTGTCAACGGCGTCCCGGCCAGTTTGTTTGACTGCATTTTTGGCAGTATCAGCAATTCGTCCGGCTTCTTGAGCAACATCGTCACCCGTAGGCCGTTGCTCCTCTTGAGACCCATCTGCTCCGATTACATTCTTTTGTCGCTCTGAAGGCTCAACTTCTTCAGAGACATGAGCAGCGGTAGTGGACACAGAGGAGGCTGTGTCTGCAAATATCTGGCGAGAGACCGTCGTCAGGTCACCAACAAGGAGGCGGAAGTCAGCATTTGTCATCAAAAGACTTGTAATGGTGCGCAGACTTTCATATGCTGTTCGATAGTCAGTATGATAGTTCAAAGATAACGGAAGACCTCGCCGCCTGGGTGAGATCAAATACCGGCTGCAGTATCTGCCTGCGCCTTGGCCGACGACGCAGTCCCAGCAAGGCGAGCAGTGTCTACGGACACTTTTGACCTTGAGAGGTTCCAAATAACTTCTTGAAGTTGATCATCCCCATTTTTGTCACGTAAAACCTGGATAAAGACCCGTAACCATGCCCTGCAGTCTTGGGCGAGCTGTCGACCTGAACTGCTCAGTGTTGGGTTATCCGGGTTCAATAAATCCGAGACAAGCAAGGCTCGAAGATGTGAAACGATCTGAGCAGAGGATGGCATGAACCCGGAATACACTGCTCGAAGCATTTCGTATCCGTGCAATTTCTCCTGCAGGTCCCGCTGCAGGCTGGTATTGCTTTCATGCTGTGGAAGAAGGGGCTCCGTCTCGCCATGGCGAGGTCTACGGGGTTTACAACACGAGAGCATGGTGTGCAATGTGAGCTGGCTCTATCATTGTCAAAAATCAGCAAATACCAATGTAATATAAGTTTCCAGTATCCTTTAATCAATTGAATGACAAACTTTCTCAACTTATGCTAGAGCAATTGGTGTCAAGAGCCGGGCTAGACCTCTTCTGCATTGAAGGTCTGAGCTCGAAACCATCAAGGAGTTGGCCCAACGATCCTCACCCTCAATCATATGACGAGAAGCAACATTGCTGGATGAAGGCTTACAATGGCGTTATACAGCAAACCTCGTGCGGAGAATGACGCGCCCAGTCCCAAACAGGAAAAACAGGGAACGCGATGCCAAGACCGGCAGAACGGTTCTGGAACTTCCCAGCCACAAGCAACAAGCCACGCCACTCTCGCGATGCGTGACTCTTTAAAACTGCCAGTGGGGTGTTTGGAGACGGAGGGCCTGAGGGAAATTTTTAGGTGCTATTATGGACAGGACAGAGTGCGGTTTCAAAAAGAGATTGATTGATTGATTTGCTCATTAAGTTGGTGTCTGCATCCAATTCTGGTGCTCCAGAACGGGTGCTACCTAATGCGGCTAACTCTCTTCCCAGGCTTAGGGCTTCAGTACAAAGTTCATCCACCTCCAGTTCCCTCAGTCCCCTGTCCCTCATTGCTTCTTTAATTCCCTCAGACCATTCACTTATCTTGCATTACATAGATATTTCATTGCCATACAGATCTTGTGCCTACTGTTAGAGAGATGGTCACAGCAGAGCTAAAGAAGTGGTCAGTTTAGGTTACATGTTGCTAATATTCCCCAGGCTTGGCTAGTCTCTAGGCTCAGCAGGATGGAATTTTACAAGACACCTCTTCCAGCTGTAGTAGAAATTTCATGCTACCTATATTGGGTGCTGGATGTGGTGGTGCGGACAAAGATATGATTCTCAGTACGAATGTTGTGTGGTTTCAAAAAGAGAGAAAATAATTATGACGGTCCTCGGCCTTACCCAGGAAATTGCGGTTCGGCGACAATGAAACCGTAGTATGAGATCAGAGTTCAGGATCGGCCCGACTGCCCTAGTTGGTTAACTCCATATTATCGCCGCTTGTGTGTCGAAATGGCGTGCTTCGACAGGTCTAGGACGTTATTCTAACATATTTCACGAGCACGAAAAATATTACATAGCAAATATGCGAATGGAGACTTTATTTATACCCTAACACAGAGATGGGTTTTCGTATGGAGAAAAAGGTGAGGGTCCATACGGAGTATAGACTACGAGGACTGTCCTTATCAACGGGATAAATTTTTTCCCGGGCATCCAGCAGTCTCAACTGGATAACCCCGGCAGCGTTCAACCGTTGTCCACAAGCCTCAGATCCTGTGTCCGGAGTACGGAGTCGTAGAAGTTATTTGTGACAATGTAACAAGGACAAGGATCGAGAGACCGAACCCGGGCAGCGATTCCGAGCATGTCCATCCATATTGGTGAATGCACAAAGTCCTTCTATCTGTTACTGTGAGAGGGAGTGGCCCGGCTCAAAAATATATAAGTTGGTTAAGGCCTCCGAACTGGTAGCATACTTGGAAACTTGCCTTGTTGGGGGTCAATTTTGCCCGAAATCCGGGTTGGAAGTCAGCGAAGCGCATAGGAACCCCAGTGCATAAAGACTTGCAGTGCCTGGACCGCGTGTCAGATCTGCTCTTAGCCCGACGATCCCTCGCATCCGAGAACCTCTAGCTGGGGGAAATTGTAACGCGGGATTAATAATTGGCAGGGGAAGGGAGAGAGAGAAAAAAAAAAATAAAAATAAAAATAAAAATAAAAAGTGATAGACGAGAAGAAAGGACAGGTGGCATTTGTTTCATCTTTTCAACCAGCGTTGTCGCGAAAAATCACTCTCTGTCGATAACGATGTCGTACTCTGCACTCCGACGGGAGTAACCATTGTTTTGATGCATGCATAAGACTCGCCTTTGCATTCGGAGCAATATAAACTCCGTCTAACGCGCAGCATGGCGACACTCCGTTGCGAGTAGCTAAACGACTCCGGAATCCGTGCAGATGACGGGTGCAGAACACATAGAATTGCTGGGAGAAACATATCAAGGAATTTCCCACAGAATGACACGTCTTGTTGGGGGCCCAACCATTTCCCGACACTCTGGACATCACCCATATCATTCGTCGGCGATGCTCAAACTCGACGACCGGCAGAGGGCGGCGTCCTTGGCCCCCCTGTACCCTGACGTCCACACGAGATGCCAGCCACTGGGCAGAAAAAGTAAAGTTCTTAGGCTCCTTTCTGATGCATTAGTACCCGCTCATTGGTGTGGTATCCCATCGCGGCTTGGCCGCTGGGGTAGCAAGACGGAGAGCTAACTGGATGGGGACCTAGTTCGTGCAGGGGAGAGGTCGCAGGGAAGCTCGACATCAGAGGTTGGGTCTGAAAGAGCCTTGTTGCGTTGGATGTCCTTTTTTTACTTCCATAATAATGCCTGCTGTTATTATCGTTGAAGATCAATGGGGATTATGTATGGAAATCGAGCTAAAACAGGAACAAAAGGATCACCAGGAGCGGTAATACTAGGGGATTGCTTCGCCCGGATGTATGAGTGAATGATGATGAAATGAAATTGCTTTGGGTAAATGGATGTCGTAGATGAACAGGGTATGAAAAGTTTGGGCCGAGAATAAAGATACAGCGCACGCCTTCAACCGAGGTTTCTGAGGCATGGCTGAAACTGGGCTGGGAGGAGGCAGGGAGACAGGCTCTGACTTTATAGGATTCATCGGGTTCAAGGTGCAATTGTGCGGAGCGATGAGTCAAGTTCTTTTTCGTGCGTCAGACTTTCGGGTTCTCCGCATGGAGACCAGAATCCCAAAACCTTTTCCCACGAAAACTCACACGAGAAACTTCCCCAGACATGCTGCCTGTTAATTGGTGACTTCGCCCATCCCTCCTTGCTGGACCAACCCGATATCGCCCGATCGGAGCTGTCTTACCCATTTGCAGCCCGCCAGAAGCTCTCACAGGCTGACGGCGCAATTTCCTCGAATCCCCTTCTTCGGGGGCTAGCCAGCATTTCCACCCGTAGCCGCCCCTCCCTTCACCTTCGAATTCGCTTCACATATGTAAGGGCGTGGATCCTCAGGGTTGCCCTAGCTTTTCCCTTGGAGCCCAATGCGCTTGTCCTTTACTCCTCTTAAAAGACCCTCTCCTTGCTCTCCTGCCTATCTGTCAGCGTTGAATTCCAGTCCTTTAGCACGTCCTCTCCCTCGTCAATCCTTCATTCCGTTGGCATCGACACTTGCCATTATGAGTCAATCACCCTCTCGCTTTCAGCAGCGTCATGCTGTCCACCCCCCCACTGGCCCTGCGTGAGTATCCCGCTCCCTCGCACTGTTTCGTCTGACACATCAGGCTGACCGTTCCCTTGGGCTGCAGAGAGATGAACTATGATACAGCCAACCCTGGCTACATCCGCAAGTACCTTCGCACATACGGCCTCACTCCTCCACACGTTGATAGCTACGAGGTTCAGAAAACGAGATGTGCGTAAGGTAGAGAAAGTAACCGATGGTGGACTCTGTGCTGATCGTGCTGTCCAATCGGCTAGGTCTCACACAATTGGCACTCAAGTCAACCGCAATAGATAAATTCCTCTATCTCAGCGCCATTAGAAAGAATAATGTGCACTTGTTCTACCGTTTGGTTGTAGACCACTTGAAGGCAAGTTAACCAGCAATCCTTCCTGCACCGAACGGGACTAACCAGCTAACTTGATCCAGGCGCTGACACCGTTGATTTACACTCCCGTGGTTGGAGAAGCTTGTCTGAAATGGTCGGAGATTTATCAACAGCCCGAAGGTAACACACGCCTTTCATCATTTACTTCGTCAATTTGTGGGGAAATCACATGCTAATCACCCACCGACAGGCATGTATATCAGCTACGAGGATCGGGGCAACATCGCTGGGGTCATCCAGAACTGGCCTCAGCCCAATGTAGAGATCACATGCATAACCGATGGCTCAAGAATCCTGGGGTTGGGTGACCTCGGTATCAATGGCATGGGCATTCCAATTGGGAAGCTTGCTCTGTATACTGCCTGCGCCGGCATTCGGCCAGAGGTCACTCTTCCTCTCACATTGGACTTGGGCACAAGCAATAAATCTCTGAGGGAAGACCCTCTATACATGGGGAGCCGGAGGGAGAAGGTCACTCCAGAACAAGAACTTGAGTTCCTGGATGAGTTGATGACTGCTCTGACGGAAAGATGGCCAGGGTCAGTACTTGTCCGCCGACCGTCCATGGGCACCGAGAACTAACCGCCTTTTAGCATTGTTATCCAGTTTGAGGATTTCAAGAATCCATTCCCAGCCCTGGCGCGGTATCGCCATAATTATACCTGCTTCAACGATGATATCCAGGGTACTGGTGCAGTCATTCTGGCCGGTGTGATGAACGCAGTGAAGAAGTCTGGAATTCCTCCCCAGAATCACAAAGCCGTGTTCTTGGGGGCGGGGAGCGCCGGTGTTGGTGTTGCCAAACAGATCGTTGACTTCTTTGTCCGCGAAGGAATGACCGAGGATGAAGCTCGGGCCTGCTTCTACCTTGTCGATACTAAGGGCCTTGTGACTGCTGACCGTGGTGACAAGCTTGCCGCACACAAAGTTTACTTTGCGAGAACAGATAATGGCGGCAGACAGTACAAGACTTTGGAGGAAGTCGTCGACTATGTCAGGCCGACCATGCTCATGGGATTGTCCACCCTTGGCGGAGTCTTCACACCTCAGATCCTCAAGAAGATGAGCGATTGGAATAAGAAGCCAATCATCTTCCCTCTATCAAACCCTTCTGCTAACTCGGAATGTAATTTCGAGTCCGCCGTTGTCAACACCGACGGTCGTTGTCTCTTTGCGTCCGGATCTCCATTCCAACCTTTCTCCTACACAAACCACGCTGGTGAGACAAAGACACACTACCCTGGCCAAGGTAACAACATGTATGTCTTCCCGGGCATCGGACTGGGAACCATCCTTTCAAAGGCCGTAGAGATCACCGACACCATGATATACGCCTCCGCCCAGGCTCTTTCCACGGCCCTGACATCTGAAGAAATTGAACAAGGACTCCTTTATCCGGACATTACCAGGATCAGGGAGGTTAGCGTTTTGGTTGCCCGAGGAGTAATCCGTGCAGCCCAAGAAGCCAAGGTAGATCGCGAGACTGGTATCCGAACGTTCTCCGATTCCGACCTGGATGCCTGGATCAAGTCCCGGATGTATAATCCCCATGGAGAAGTCCAGTCGCTGGAGAGGGAAGTCGGCCTCCTCCTTTCTTCCATTGGCCGCCTGAATGTAAACAGAGAGGAAGGCTCTGCTGCGCACGAAGTGAATGGAGATTCGAAACTTTAATTTTTTTTTTTTTTTTTTTTCTTTTGGCATTGCTTGGTTTCTTGGTCCCAGCCCATTTGTTTTCTCTCACGCCTTTTTTTTTATTTTTTATTTTTTTCTTTGATGTCCATTTTTCATAATATGTTTCCCCAACTAACTAGCATTTTCATTCTGAGGTCATGGCCCGGTTTCACGCAGGGATGAAGGGGCAGGGTCCGGGATCAAAAAGTCATGTCATGAGTGTTTGCCTATTATGTTCTGATGCCTTGGTGTATTGAAACCCTGCCCGCCTTGGAAGTTCGTGATATCCTGATTTTGGTATACATTGTAGAGGTGCATGGATGCGCCTCCTGCCCCCGACTATGTTTAGTTACATGATGCATTTGTAGCCTGGTTTAAAGGTGTGATTTTGTCGACTTTGCTGCTCTTTTCTGTTGACTATTCCTAACTATCTTGAATAAATTTTGGGGTAGTTGGTAGTTAACATGTAGCCAGGAAATGATGAATTACATATTTGGGTTTTGTATCGTCGAACCCGCCCCTGCGCTGCCTCGTAGCTCCGCCTACATACCCATGGCCGAGCTCCTCCGTACCTACATCCATCCTACCCAGCTGCCCGGCGCTGTGGAGCAAGGCTCCCTCGCGCCACGTGGTAGTGAAGAGTCTGGAGAGAAGCTCTCCCCCAGCAGGACAGGGGCAGATCTCCACCCGATGCTCGGAGTACTTCCGTGAAGCCTAAATAAGCTCGCCCTGGCATGTCGGCGCACGGTCGACCTTTTTTGTTTCTCCAGACTTCCCATCGCCCTGGGTCTGGTCTTTGTCTGTCGATCTCCGCATGCTCCACTTCTATCCGCGCAGTCCTTGTTTGCTCGACTGGCGGAGATGTGCGTCTTGTTTTGTGGGCGAGGACGCGGGGGAAGCGTTGGAGGTTTGGGAAGTGCCAACGATCTCCCCCAGCTTCCCCTCATCATCAAACCATGACTCAGATTGCCTTCTCCTACGCCCATCGATACCCCCTTCCTCCAAGCAGCAGGGTATCCCAGAGGTATCGTCGAACAGATTTCCCCCCGCATAAAGTACCTTGCTCTCGATCTCGCTGCCATCCTGCTCAAAATGCGGGGTAAATTTGCTCCACGATGCTCTACAAGGCGTCTGCGAGAAGAATGTGCACATGCATTTAGGTACGATTAAGATAGCTTAGAACCTCTAGGCTACAATATGACAACAGATTACTTTGATGAGGGGATGTATCCCCTGCGTATGTCCTCCGTGAATGCCAGCGACCTGTGATCACAATCAACTTTGCGTTGGGGTACGGAGTACACGACCCCAGTACTTCGCAGTCACCCCTCGGCACGGGAACAAGACAAGCAAGGCGACCTGAGAATACTCCGTACAGCCTGAGAAATATCCCCCTCATCCTGTTATGGCTGGGGATGACCAGATTTGCATTTCTATCTTAAGACACAGGCCGGACGGCAGCGGTGCAGCTCGAAGTCACCCTCCCTGCCCCTCAGTGGCTTATTCCTAGCTTTTAGCATTGTGCTTGGGTTTGCAACAGGAGACAGACAACTACTAATCTGCATCCACAGATGCATCAACTGGGCGTCCTACCATCATCCAAGCAGCTGCTCTGCTCGATGCTCTGGCCCCTTGAGCCCCTTTCCCGAGACCACACATTGATGGACGTTTGGGTCCTCCGGGGCTCGGTGACCCCAACAATGCCGACGCTCTTTGCATAGGAATCGAACGGCTCTCCAATGGCATCCACCATGTTTCATTCAGGTGAGTCAATCTCAGTTGCACAAAGCCTCGAACTCACACTCAGGAAATGTCACGGCGAAATAGGCCAATCATATGTCACGACAGAACAACTCCCAGGCAAACGGCGCAAACAGGAGCGAACAAGGATGAGATAAGTCAAGCAGCTGGCGCCCAACAGGAGTCACAGGACATCAATCGGCGAATTTAGTATTAAAATCGATCAGACGGCAAGTCCAAGGCCGGAAGTGGTGACTTGACGTGCGGCTTTTCGCCCTCGACTTGCCAGGTTTTCCCGCCACGCCTGGATCAAGTAACATGCACGCACTCGATCACTTCCTGTGGATCCGCTCACCTCTAAACATCCTCGGGGAGTATGAATAGTCTCCATCACCCTAGGACCACAGAAGATACTAGGATAAGCCATAGATATTAGCACGAAGAGTGTGAAAGGGACAAATAAAAGTGCGTGCACAATGGGAGAGCAAGAAGGCTCTCATATGGTTGCAGACGGAGAAGCCGCGGGACAGCAACAACATCAAGAGGACCACGCGATACGCAATCTGAAAGCCCTAACTAACTAACTAGTTAACTAGTTAACTAAACTCAGAATAGGCACGGGTGCCAAACCGAGTACATATGGACGGACACTATGTAGGCTCTGGCGCGGTCGGTGGGGACTTGTCATCACTTGTCATCACAACATTTTACTCCGAACAGGAAGCTCTTCTCCTTTTTTTTTTCTTTCCTTTTTTTTTTTTTTGGTGTGTGTAGGGAATGTTGACAAATGAAGTGGGCATAACTAACTAACTAGTGAGTTCTGAAACCCGACACCAACGTGCACAGTTGTCTGTTTACTTCCGGTCAGCCTCCAGCTGAGCGAAGAGACCAACCGTTGAGCCGGGAGACAAGTGTCAAAGCCATAACTAACAATTATGTAACTAACATTTAACAACTCTATAGAGCTGCGCTACTTGAAGCCACGAATCCTTCTGGTCAAGAAACGAGCTGGCTACGTGTTCTAAAATTGGACCAAACAGGCTAAGCCATCCGTGTCAGCCCTAAATCCCAGCGCCAACATTTGATGCCAACTTATGAAGAGCGTTGTGAAAATGTTAGTTAGGCACTACTGGCAGCTCTTAGCTTCACCATCGATTCAGTTGGGCATAAATCGCTGATCGGTTTCGACCGAGACTATGTATTTTATTGCTGCGTGCCATGTCAATCTTACAGGCTTGGGAAAAGGTTCTTGCCTGAAAGGAGATTGCAATATTGCTGGATCGTTTGCTGCAATGTTGATTTTTGGTTGATATAAATTCTAGCACGGGCAGAGTTCCAGCTCCCCATGCTAGAAGAGATACGTCCTGCGTCTGTGGTATAATAGAGCGGACTGGTCACTCAACATGCTATGAATGTGTCGGACCCATCCCGCACAGAGCTATGCCGCCCTAGGCATATCACGAGTGATATTAGGGGTTCATTGGCACCATCCGATGCTCGTTGCTTTTCATTTTCAGTACGGAGTACTCCGTACACTGCCCAGCTCTACGACGCACCTTGTTACGGATGTGGATCCTCCCCCGGCAAGGGAAAAAGGGGGGGGGGGGGGCCTCTCACTTTCAGCAGCACTTTTTATTTCACTGTGTTGGGGCTGATGTCCCCATGGTGGTGGATAATGTTTGGCCTATATATTACCCAAAGCACTGAATACGGTTTAATCTGGTTGCTTCAGGATCGCAGGACAAAGCCTACTCTGGAACTTTCTCTTTGGTGAGAACCTTATTTTTGTCGTTAAAAGGAAGAAGATGGGATTAGAAGAGCATGCTGTTCGTCCCAGTAATGACGATTCCAGAATTGACAGTTCCGCTGAGGACCTATCAGCATCTCATGATGAAGATGTCGAGAAGGGAAATGGTTCATTGGTTCGGGCACTGCGCGAGAGGCATTTGCAGATGATCGGAATTGGTAAGTAGGAGGAGTCCTCGAGAGTTTCCTTTTGCTGAAACGGAGGTGTCCTAGGTGGCTCTATTGGCGCTGGTTTGTTTATTGGATCTGGACAGGCATTGAGCAACGGCGGGCCTGCGAGCACGGTACGGTCCTTGTACAATTGTTTTTTCAATCCGAACAAGAAAGGGGTTCCATCAGCAGTTCAAGTTCCTCGTTAATAATTCTACCACTCATATGTAGTTTCTGGGATTTGCAATCACCGGTGCTATGGTGCTATGCAATTTACAGGCCTTGGCGGAATTGGCGGTGATATATCCCGTAAATGGAGCGTTTTACACATATGCATTCCGCTTTATTGATCCAGCGTGGTAAGTGATTAGTTCTAGGTCATATTTTCTCCGATAGATGGATATTATATGCTAACATTTCGTCCGATGAGGGGATTTGCTATGGGGTGGCAGTACGCGGTTTCCTGGCTAATCATGCTTCCAATCGAACTTACTTCTGCGGGACTGATGATCACCTTTTGGACATCGGACATCAATGTTGGAGTCTGGTCCGCTATTTTCCTAGTAATGGTGACTGTGGTTCAATTCTTTGGCATCAAGGGCTATGGAGAGAGTAAGAACACCGTCTGTTACTGTTTTAGAACTGGGTTTTATATTAGATCCGGGAGGGTTTGTTAACTAACATCCGCACAGCCGAGTATATCCTCGCTCTTGTCAAGGTCATAACGTGTGTTGGTTTGATTATAGTCGGTCTCATCATCAACGTTGGCGGTGTGCCTACTGATAATCGAGGGTACATCGGCGGAAGGTATTGGCATGATCCAGGAGCTTTTCGCGATGGTGCTAAAGGCTTTATATCGGTACTGGTGACTGCAGCATTCGCGTACACAGGCACCGAAATGATTGGATTAGCTGCTGCCGAGACAGTAAATCCCCGAAAATCTATACCAAAGGCGACCAAACAGATGCTATGGTGCATCGTTTTCTTTTACGTTATTAATATCTTGTTCGTCAGTTTAAATATTCCCAGTGACAGTCCCGCGCTCCTTGGCGCGAAGGGAGGAAATATCAAAGCAAGTCCGTTTGTCATTGCTGCCGAGCTTGCGGGTATCAAAGTGCTGCCGTCCATTATCAACGCTGTGATTATGCTCTCTATCATTGGCGCTGCAAATCTTTGCTCGTATGGCTCGACACGTACATTACAAGCTTTGGCTGCCACAGGAAACGCGCCGAAGTTTTTCGCATATATTGACAGCAAAGGACGGCCGGTGTGGTGCATTCTACTGCAGATTGCATTCGGTATGCTAACATTTATAAGTGAAGCAGCATCTAGCGAAGTTGTCTTCACGTGGATGATGGCACTGAGCGGATTGTCCGGTCTATTCTTGACGACAAGTATCTGTTTCACCCACATCAGATTCAGGCGAGCGTGGAAGCTCCAAGGGAAGAATGAGGAGGATATTCCATATCGTTCACCTTTTGGGGTCGTTGGGAGTATTATTGGTATGGGCCTGTCAACAATCGCTATTGTAGCTACGCTTTATCTTGGAATATTTGTAAGTCCAACCTCCCTTCTAAATCCCATTCGAAGCCTTGGTTGACCACGTGAACTTCCTTATTTGATTCTACCAGCCTATCCACGCAACATCCAGAGTGGAATTCTTTTTTCAAACATGCATGGCTGCACCACTTGCTCTGGTGGCAATGCTTGGCTGGAAAATCTACAAGAGAAATTGGAAGTTTGGCGTTGATCTGCGGCGTGTCGACCTTGACGAGGGTAGACGAATGGATTATTACTCTTCAGGAGAGGACGATCATGAACTAAGGGAAAAGGGTTCATCCTTGACCAAAAAAGTGGTCGGTTTCTTCTTTAACAAAGGATAGATCTCTTGACTGATCAATCCAAATGTTATTTCTGGCGGGAGGACTTTTAGGCGCCCTGGATACACAAGGAGCCGTATCCAGGGAAAATGTCTGCGAAACCTTGGGCATTTCTCATGGATGATTCGCTTAAAGAACACGTTCGACGTGGATCTACCACACCCAACTCGCTCACTGCTTGAGGGACCGGGGGCGTTAATAATAGCCAGTTAACTCCAATGTGACGAACCGCCGAGATCACGATAGCGCCATGGATCAGTCGGCAGCCCGACTAGGAAGGGAGAAGATATGTGACCCCGTTTGTCCACTCGATGACCGGAAATCATTTACTTTTTTACGCCATCGCAAGGCCGGAAACAAGTCCGTTTTGCTGGCCGTTATCTTTCTCTTCGGTAACCTAGACTTCTGTCAAAATCTGGAGATCTCAGCTGAACTAGCACCCATTCAGTCGAAACTGAAAGAGCAGACATAAAGTTCCTAGAATAATAAATTCAGCTTAATTGAGACACATGTTGTCTCTTCACTTGGACTTTCCAATATTTTAGTGTTCTTGGCATAAAATAACTGCACTCTTCTCTCAGCTGCCACAGCGCCTCGCCTTTTGACACAAAAATGTATTGAATTCATCAGCCAAGGGATCGTTTGCTGGGGAATGTGAACAGAGGGTGAGCCAAAGCAAATGCAATCTGTGTGCGATTTCAAAAAGAACAAAAGTGAGTAGTCTTCGTTCGTCCTTGTGGAGATGTATAATACACTCTGCGCACAGTGAATAACCGATGGATCATAAGTATCTGACAAAAGAAAAAGAGAAAATCAACCCTAAACCTCTCACAGCATACCAGGTTGTTAATCCATCCTTTACATGAATTAAAATGCCTAAGATCACAGGAAATGGTCCTCATTTTCTTAATCATTTTAGGACCTTGTTCCCCCACGGCCAGTTATTGATATTTGGTTTGCCGCAACAGGTTTCTCATCCTCCGCCTGTGGCACCTCAAGAGCATTCAATTCCTCCTCTTTCTCATTGTATCGGCTGTAGAGGAGCCAGAAGATGACGCCTGCAGTGGCAGACGCGACAGCTAAACCGGTATACATCCACTAGGAGAGATACGTTAGCTGAGAGTCAAGAAAGCACTTGTTAGAAGGCATGAGCCACAGCATACAACAAGGTTTGGGTGCTTAGCAGTTGGAGAGAGTGCCATGCCAAGCGCAGCGCCGAACGCACTGGTCAACAAGAATACTGCCGTAACAAATGATTTCATTGAAAGTGGTGCTTTTGTAAAAGCGTACTCGATCCCGGTAATGCTTGCGAAAATCTCGGACAACCCGATAAAGAGGTAAGCCGGTGTTTGTATCGCAACATGGATGCGATTGCCAAGCTCGCCGTCGTTGCTCGCTGGACAATTTTTCGGAAATTTGTAGCAAGGCGGCCGGTTGTAGATCAAATGTTGGACAATGGCAGCATACACCATAGAAGCGGAGGCCAGCATGAAGCCTGTTGTAATACGAGTTACTGGTTTAAAAGGAACCCCTAGTCTATGTTAGAGTAAGATTCAATGTCTTCAGAGGCATTGGGGAATTGATACCCATTTTGCGCAAGAATGGATATAGAAGCCGGTCACAAATGGGAATGAAAATAATGATAGTCAAGGGATCGATGTTTTGCATCAGATCATTCGGAATTCCATGAAGCTCCATGGTGCCTGCTTGGGAGATGAAATTGTTTAACATCTGTTGATAGCAAACCCAGTATATCGGATAATACCTGATCTTTGGTTAGTATCACGGAAATGACCAAGCCAGAGGCGTTTCCGTACAAGAAGACTTTACATCCAACCAAGGTACGTTTCATTTCCTCCACGAAACGGTCATCCCAATGGATACCATGGGGTCCATGTCCGTAGGCAGCTTGATATGAGGGCTTTGCTGCGTCCAGATTCCCTTTATTCCTTAGGCCGATCCAAATAACTTTGAATGCTTGCGGAATGACTGAACCTTTTGGTGGACGGACGACATAATACTTTCTTCCAATGACGGCCACTGTAAAGGATATAAGGAATACGCACGCTGGCAGCAAGTATGCAGCCCAGAAGTCGACATGCTTTTCCAATTCGGTGGTTGCGATAGGGGAAAGAGAACCAATATTGATGCACAAATAGAAAATCATATCTAGCATGACATAGTCAAGATCAGCTCGTCAAGAGGTGCAGCGGGGGACTTACAAACGCGCTCAATAGTCCGTGCAGGGTCTTCAATAACCCGTTCCCCCGATTTTAATGTTTTAACTGAGAGCTTGTTAACCTTGATTTGCTCTGCAATTAAAGGAGAAATATTCGATTTAATTCCTCCGGTCCCAAGGCCGATGACAATCATAGCTGTGATGAGCCCACCGAGTGCTGCATTGTGGGTGATCGCCACAGGCAAGGAAGTGCAGACTAAAATAGCCAATCCAACTATGTAAATAATTGCAGAGATAACGATGGTATTGTATTTCCCCAGGTACTGGTCCGCAACTATGCCACCAAGGGTTGGAGTAACGTAGCACCAGAACTATTTAAAGCCACGGTTATTACTGAGATTCTAGAAAGGATTGGTAGACATACCTGGAAGAAACTCGTCAATCCAGTTGCCGCCGATTGGCCAAGCCCTTGTAATCGTTGGTTAGAAAATAAGCACGCCTTTCTGAGAATATGATTCACCTAGTGCACCCGGAGTTTGACTGCCAGGTCTGTACGGGTTTTCAATGTAGTTCTAGAAGATGGCATCAGATGCGTGATTAATTCAGTCAAGGGAGCCTTGGTGGTTTTACTTGAAAAGGCCCAGCGATTCCGTAATATGCAAATCTCTCACACAATTCGACGGCAGCAACGAGGAAGGCAGACCATGGCAACGGACCTGCAACTCTTCTCAGAGTATCCAAGTCGCCTTGAGTAGGTGTATCTATATCTGCTTCCTCAGACCCGCTTTCATCTAAGCCAATAGCAGGATCAACCGAAGCGCCTTTTGGTTCATTCATGCTGGATTCATGTGCAGGGTTGATCGCGGGCGCTTCGACCTCGGATTTCTGAATCCTTTCTGACGCGTCAATTATATCGTTCTTTTGCTGGATAGGAAAAAGTCACTTACCCTTCGGTATCAGGATATCTCACCGACATCAGGGGCTGCACGGAATATTTATAATCTGACGAAGAAGTAGTGGCATAGATATACGATAGTTGGGATGAAAGGAAAATGGGACGAGAGAAATGAGACGGACGCCCCGTTATTTAGAATGTAATCAAGTAATGTGAGCTATAGGCTTCCGGCTGAGGAGCCCTCAATGTATTGACGTCGTAGCAGCCTGAAATGAAGTTAAATCAAACTCTCCTTTCTTTGTCAATGTATGATTCATTATGGGAAGAGAAGTAATTAATATACAGATGTGAGGGTGTCATAGGCACTACGCTATGTACCGCATGTGAATACTCCAGCATAGTCTGTTTGAAAAAGTGATGGATATCCACTGCAACTCGCGCAGGTGAACAACAGAGCAGACACTTTCCCTTTTTTTCTCCCTTTTTTTGGTCTTTCCTTGTGGTCATTTCCCAGAAAAAGAAACGACCATGAAAATTGGTCCACTCACTATGCTGGGCTTCAGGTGCAAGTGCAATTTGCTAGGTTCTGAAGTCCAAGCTGGCCACTGGACATACTAATTATTGTGAGCAGCGTAGATCGACCGCCATTCTAGAGAGCTTCTACCTTACAGTGGGTAGGAGAGTAACCACCAGGAGGAAGGTATCCATATCTCTGTTGTAGAAGTTGTTCCACGGAATGGTAGCTGGGTAGACCCAGGAAGCTCAGGGCTTCTCATAGTAAAATGCCAAGCACGGTTGGCTTCAAGCTATGCTTCCTTCAAGTCCAGCAATGGCTTCACGGCACAAGAAAACTCCTTGCATGGGTATTGTCCATTGCCGGAATGTCCGGCAACGTTACCATGGGAGAATTGGGATCTCCAGGCAAACAGGTTCCTTTCATAGTAGGGAGGGAAAAGCTGAGCGTCTTAAGAGGAGGTTGATAAAGATTCGAGAATTCTCCAAGTAAGATATCCGGCGCGTCGCGAGGTGCACCAGGTGATGTTCGCCTAAACATGTCGTTTGGAACAACAATTTTCGGTTAGTTATCTTACTAAGCAGTGAGCTTCCGATGCTAACTAAGCCAAATCTAGCTTTAGCGCAGACCTCGATCTGCAGCTCTCACGCATGATTGATGATGTTTCCCGATGCGCAGACATCATACGGCTTCAAGGACAATCGGAATAGTAGCATACAGTTGTTCGCGTGCTTGAGCAACCCATACCGGTTTCATCAGGCTTTTTAATTAACCAATCTTGCAGAATATAGTAAAAGAGCCCGACCATGGACTCTTACGCCCTCCTCGATCAGGCTGATGAAGGTACACCTTGCCCAGCCCCAAAAGAAACTACCCACGAAGGATGCTCTAATGTATAGGTTCTTTTAGATTCTCTTCACAAATCCCGTCTATTAAACGTTGAAGAAAAGCCTTTTAAAAGAATTACGAAACGCCTTCTCACCCCGAACAATCTCATCTCCTCACCGACCGCATTCCTACCCACGCCACCGCCAGATTCCACATCCCCGGACGACGACGCATTAGCACGATATGAAGCAGAAAGACAGAAGCTCTTGGAAGATTGGAGGCAATTCCAGGAGGACGTAACACTAGACTTTGCTGCCTTCGAGGGCAGCATAGCGAGAATCCAGTTTTTGTTATCGAGCAACGCAAAAGAGCGAGAAAGATACGCCGCCGAAAAACTTAGAATTTTAGCCACTGCCCAGGAAGTGAAGGAAAATACGGCTGAGCTGAGAAAACAGTTGGAAGAAGCGCAAAAGACGCTTGCACTTCGAAAGACTTACGACGAGCTTGCGGAGAAGATTACATCAAACAGGCTACTACGGCCCCGCGAGGATCAACAAGCCAATTTGGAAAAGCTTAATGCCGAAATCGCGAAGTTGGAAAAGGAAAGTGGGGAATATGCTCAGACCTGGGCGGAGCGCAGAGAGCAATTCGGGAGAATTGTTGAGGAGGGAATGAATCTACGTCGTTTGATTAGAGATGAGAAGGAAGAGGTAGAAAGACGTGAAGGAATGGAAGAAGGAGAAGAAGGGGACGAGGGGGACGTGGCATCTAAGGGAAGAGTCAGCATGGTCGGTACTCCACGTCCCGATCAGGACACCATAACCCCATCCCAATCCATGGAGGATGTTGTTACGGCCTCTGGAAAGCCTCACCCCGAAAAATTGAAAAGCTCTGCGACACCTGGAATTACTCCACTCCGTCAGGGAATTACTATCTCTGGAACTGATGATAGGAAAGAATCTGAGGACGAGAATATGGAGGACGAGGGTGAAGTTTCAGGTGATGAATCCGGGAATCGTGGAGAAAGCTCCGCAATTGAAGGTCGATCTCCATCAAAGACAGCGGATGATTTGGAGGAAGGAGAAGAAATTTCGGATGATAAACTTGAAGACAAAATGGACACCACGTAGTTTGGCGCAAGGTTTCACAGAATACAGACGACAGACAAAAGAAACAGCTGGAGCCATGTTTTGATTAAAACATGCCAGCTAATTCTAAAAGGATCTATGATACGCTTCTTGACTCGGGCTCATTGGAAAGTCCCGTCCTCAGATACAAAAAACTTGAGTGGTAAAGGCTCGAGCACGGCGCCCATGGAACTACGACGACCTCGTTCTTGGAAATATGAAGGCTAGGGTTATAAGTAAGAGCGGAGGGGGTGCTGCTTGCAATAGAGATAACGCATGTGTCTCAGATCTCGTGGGCGCATCATCTATGCCCCTGCTATTGTGGAATCCACGGGCCTTGGGTTAGATCCAAGTAATATGGAAGTGATAGCTATATCTTAGCATCATCTCAGAATAGAACACACTTCCTTTCCATTTAAAAGATCTTATGCATTTATTCGTAACCTCGCCATAGAGGATGGACCTTGGATGGGACATAACTCCATCGCATCCAAACATGTACATATTAAACTCGAAATATGTTTGATTTCATGCCTCACTTCTCGGCCCAGCCAGGGCTGGAACTGCTTGTTTCGCTTTTTGGATTGCTTCGGCTGCTTCATGGAGAGCTGTCTCATTGGCATCATTCTCCTTTCCCCTTTCTTCTTGCTGTGTATTGGAAAATAACGTGATTAATGCCAAGGTATATCGAGCCTTCGTCGATGTATGCTTGAAAAAGAAGAACTCACCATCAGCCCCTCAAGTCGCTCCACGGCCTCTCGGACCAGCTGCTCCATCTTAGGTAACATTCTCTTAGTTTCATCATATGCCATACGCTAATTGAATAAATCAAAGTCAGCAAAGTCTATCTCTCAGGGTAGAAGCTACATTTAATGATCGTCCAGAAAGTCAACGGAAAGAAGGAAAAGTTACCTCCTGCTTCAGCATCCACAGTGAATTCCCTTCTTCTTCGGGGTCCTCCTTAAGCGTTTCAAGAAGCTTCTCTCTTTTCAAGATCTGTTCATGGCGCTCTTGCAGCTCAGCGTGGTACGAGGCCTCGTCTGCCACAAGTCGATTGAGCGACGAGACTGCTTTCAATATAGGATGGAGGCGTGATGTCTGTGTACCGCCGGGGGCTGCAGGCATTTTCGCTTTTTATTTTCGTGTGTATAATTCCTCTAGACCCAGGCTATTGCAGTTGAACTTGAATAGAGTATAGGATATATTAGGGAATTATTTGCCACTGTGCGCTGGAGTTCAACGTGGTCAGATACATGTCTAGGTGAAGAAGAGACCTGCGTTGAAGAATGGGATGCACAGCAGACAATCCTTGGGAACGGCCCCGCTTCGATGAAGGGGGGAAAATGCACTTAACAGCCATTCTGTCATCCGCATCGTACAAGAGCCATAGCTCCAAGGGTATGAAATAGAAACAACATTTATATGGCTTCGAATTATGAGACTCAGCTGCATCGCCCCATCTTCCAAGGCGCAAAACCGGTGTAACCAACAGAAGGACACTTGAAAACGTTTCAATAACTCAATATATTAAAGCTTACCTTAATATACAATGTAAAACACCCAAGGCACTCTCGCTAATGTCAACACTCTCGCGGCTGTTACCCCTCGGTCGAAACGCTTCCAAACATCCCACCATAGAAAACCTTCGAAGAAAGTTAGAATTTCACGTGACCTGGGGTCCAATGGGGCCAGGAGCCGGAACGTTGAAATGCTTGGAATGAAAGCCAAAAAGACAAATCGGACCGTGAAGGTGCTGGGAAGTCTCTTTCATTGCTCCATGGAAAGGGCTACACACGGACCCATGGGATGGGACACCTCAATTGAGGTCATCGCTCGTACTACGTCCCTACTTCAACGACGATACACAAAGCAGGACCCCGCTTACTCTCATAGAGGCCCATGTCATTTGCAATCCGCAATGCAATCTCTTTCCATTGCACAGAAACCTTGACCAGGCCGGTAGGAATCCTTCCCGGAGAGCCTTCAGCCTGTGGCTCCTCGGCCCGCCAACCAAGCTTTCGGTCCTCTATCTCGTCGTCATTAACCCCCCTTCCCCTTATTTTCCCCCAAAACCCCACCTTCCTTGTTTCCTGAACCTTGGGAGAGGGCTCCGGGTTCACCGCCGGAACGTCGCTCGGCTCGAACAGTCTGTGCCCCGAAGACACAAGTCTTGCCTTCATCGAGGATTCCAGCTCTGCGACGACCGCTGGCTGTCGCCAAAACTCCATAGCATATTCTTCACCTTTCAATCGAATGAGTTTGACCACTTCGTTGGCGGGGAAGCCGACGACCTGGGGCTCTGGTGGTTGAGTGTAGGCGTTACTGACGGCATCTTGGAGACTGGAGACCGTAGACGGTACAAGGATGAATATTGTCTTGTAGAGCCCTGCCACGCCTTGTGATATGAGCAGCGGATCAACGTATGTCTCAAGGATCGCGTTGATGCGCCGAGTCCGAGTGTTGGCAAGTTGAGCAGCAAGAGGCATTGCAGGTTGAAAGTCCGGCGCATGTTTGCTGTCGGTCCCGCTGAACGGCCTGGAGGACACTGACTCTTCGTATGACGGAGCTGGATCGTCTGGTATATGACCCATGACGGAAGATCTCACAAAATATGCGAGAGGAAAGGCTGAAACTATTGCCTGAATCTGCCGATTCGGCAAAAATAGACGTGTTGATTCTGCGACTGTGTCCTTCAGAGGAGATATTAAATCGTTAAGCCTGAAGGGAGGGCACTGTCAAAAATGCCTCAAGTGCCGCCCTGTTCTCGGGGCAGGACATGCAAATGCACAAGGGTTGTTTACTCCGTTTGGAGGATCGTGAAAGGGAAAGGATCAAGTGGCATCGTCCCAGTCCTTGGATCGCGGGGCTGGTGACCACGGGTCTCGTGAAGTCACGGAAGTCGGCATCGAGGAGACGGCGCGCTGCAAGGCTGACAGACCTATCACGACGCCCGCCGGACGGACACGAAGGGCAGTGTTGCAGCGGCTGTTGCACGCTAGTCCCCTTTGGGCCGGCCACTGCGGCTCAACCAAGTCACTGCCCGCTTGCAGGCTTGGCGCCGCTCAGCCCCTTGAACTCTGAAGCGCGCGCGATGCCGGACTCTCCCGTGTGGAAGACGCGGAATAAATCGATGGAGGAGCGGAGAGGTCCCAGCATGATGCCAGTCTTGCTCTCAAAGTCGCCCTCGGAGATAGCCGGCCGCTGATTAGCCGAGTGCTGCGATCCTTCGCCCTATCCATAGACTCCATGATGCAAGTTGGGAATGGTGGAAAGGTCATTCCGTCACGAAGGTTACTTGCAATGATGAGGGCATCCGGCAACGACTGAGCTTCCTCCAGCGTGCCAGGTGCAGATAGTGAATGCACGTCACGGCTAAAATAGCCGAGACCGACCCCAAGCTCCGTAAAGCGAGGACGACGTTGGCCACGAAGGCACCTATCTTCTCTTCGTGTCGGGTCGATTGGCGGTAGAATGCTCCGTGGACACGGCCAATTGGGCGTCTCGTCGCCTCCCAGAAGTCTGGGGTTGAGTTGGAGTCAGTTATCAAGTTAATTAACTTCTAGTTCCATGCAAAGACAGCCTAGGCACCATAGTGGATCAATCGTTGTCCCATGACAGTTCGACCAACGCGGAGGACCCCACCCCCGGCGCCTTGCTGTTATTTCAACCCCTGTAGACCGTTTTGGTGTGCCTTGTCAAATGCAAGAAATTGCTCAATAGATTGGAACACCTCCGGTGATTTTTCGTCGAGATCGTGCTGCGCGTCGGGTATAAAGCAGCAGCGATAGCCCTTTCGTTCCTGCTGGTTGACATCACTTGAAGTTGCTTCTGGTTCGCCTTCAGCATCTTGCAAACTACAGTCGCTTTTTAACCCTGAACTCACTCAATCTCCTAAGATCATATCGCAACAATGCTGTCAGTCTTCCATGCAATCCTCGGCCATGACCGTGATTTACTGACACAGCAATAGCTACAACGTTTCGGAGCCCCATGAATACCTGGTTATCACCGGGGGTGGGGTGAAGGATGTACTCATCAAGAAGACAGCCTTCGTGCTGCCATGGCAGAAGGTGCGGTAGCTTGTCTTTTGGGCCATGCTTGTAATGCTAAATAGTTCCCAGTGCCGACGGATTTCAATCTCTCCCTTTGACTTCTCCCTCAATCTGCAAGCAATGACGATCGAGAAGCTCCAGTTCTCTCTGCCAGCAGTCTTCACCATTGGACCTGATAACAACACTGAAGCCCTCAAGAAGTATGCTCTTCTCCTCTCCGGAGATGCAGACGTTCCGAGCAGAGTTACGCGAACCGAAGGCAATCATGTGCAGGACATTGTCAAAGGCATCATTGAGGGCGAGACCCGTGTCATCGTTTCCAGTATGACCATGGAGGAGATCTTCAAGGAGAGACAGGTCTTCAAACAGCACGTCATTGACAATGTTCAGAACGAATTGGATCAGTTTGGTCTGCGGATGTAAGCTGGTTTCCGTTTCTTCCTTTCTTGCGTGTCATAGCACTAAACAAGAGCGTACAGCTACAATGCCAACGTCAAAGAGCTCCAGGACGCTCCCGGAAGCGAATACTTCACATACCTCAGTAGGAAAGCTCATGAAGGTGCACTCAACCAAGCAAAGATCGATGTCGCAGAAGCCCGGATGAGGGGTGAAATCGGAGAAGCTGAGAAGAGGGGCAAAACCAAACAGGAAATTTCCAAGATCGACGCAGAGACGGCAGTTTTGGAGACCAAGCGTCGAAGCGAAAAGGCACAGGCAGATGCACAGCTCACCAACCGCCAGACGGAGCTTGATATGGACATTCGGCTTAAGAAGATTGCCGCGCAGCGTCAGTCTGAGGTGAAGGATGCCGAGCTGCAGAAACAAGTTGAGACGAAACGTGCGGAGACGGAGCTGGAGAGGCTGAGAGCCACGGAGGTCACGAAGAGCAAGGTCGCTAGAGAATCTGCACAGCAAAATGCCGACGCCAGCTTCTATACGCAGACAAAGGATGCAGACGCACAGTTGTACAAGTGTAACATGGAGGCTGATGCACGATGTAAGTTCGGTCATTTCTATCACGAAAAGTAAGCTGCTAATGTGTGCACAGACTATCGGGAGACAAAGGCAGCAGAAGCAGCCTTTATCACAAAGAAAAAGGAGGCAGAGGGTCTGATGGAGATGGCCAAGGCCTACAGTGCAATGGCTAACGCCTTCGGCGGACCACAAGGCCTCCTCCAGTACATGATGATCCAGAACAATACGTACGAGAAGCTTGCAAACGCCAATGCAAAGGCAGTTCATGGCATGGAACCAAAGATCACTGTCTGGAATACCGGTATGCCGTGTTCCTCAAACGCCTCGTGCATTGCTTCTAACCGCGTCCATTTAGGCTCTGGCGAAGGCTCGCAAGACTCCACCGCTCCAATCCGCAACCTTATGCAAAGCTTGCCTCCATTATTCTCTACCATTCATGACCAAACTGGTATCTCCCCGCCAAGTTGGATGGTCCAGATGCCAAATGGACAACAAGCCAGCAATGTCAAAACCAAACCGGCACAGTAGTCCAAGTTAACACTCATTAACCGTCTATCTTTATCATTTTTCCTTCGATGTTTATGTTTTGATCGACTTTGTCCGATATGATTACAGTCTTCAGATACCCTGTGCTTTATTTTACTCTCCTGCTTGTGGACGAATATTCTCCTTTGTTATTATTATCATTTGAATCTCTCCTTTTCCTCCGGGAGAGGTTTGGACTAATTGTCTTTTTCTGCCAGCCAATATGTAATTAATCATTCCTTTGTTCTGCATGTATTCCACCATGAAGGTTGTGCGCGATATGCAATCAATACTTAATAACTAGTTAATAACTCGATAAGTCCGAAGCTTACAAATCTCGGATTTCGGCCTTTTTTCCAATTAAGTTCGTTAACCCACCAAGTGGGGTAGTGCTTGAATCGCTTGGGGCTGCAGGGAGAAGCTGAAGGATGGTGATGAAGTTTTCTGGAATATATATGAAGTACTGCTGCAATGGAGAATGTATATTATTATAAGTAATAATATGATTTTGAGTGGACCAGAAGAGTACAACGGAAACTTGAATTACAATGTCCAATTCGACGCCCACCCCGGAGGGCGTTCAATCTTCTTCCAAATTATCCCCGGCGGATTTTCGTATTTACAACCGCCTCGCGGAGCGCATGGATTTGTTCGTACGTACGCATTTCTTTCCTAGCCAGCTACTCCGTACTATATATATTCGTATTCACCCTAAAACGTGCCACCTGAATCCCAACAGCACAATAACTTCCGCCAATCCTGGACCATCCTCTACAACGCCTGTACCTCAAAACGTCGCCCCAAACATCTCTCCATCCACAAATTCCTCACTATCGGCCTAGATCTCTGCGCCCATCTCGAGGTTCACCACGCTATAGAAGAGCAGTCCATATTTCCCCACCTTGCACAGCGCATGCCCGCGTTCCGGAAGGGCGTGGGGCTTATCGACCAGCATAGGCAGATTCATGCGGGTTTGGAGAAGTTGAATGTGTACTTAGAGGAGTGTAAGGGTAGGGAGAGGGAATTGAGGTTAGAGGAGCTGAAGGCGGTTATGGATGGGTTTGGGGATGTGTTGTGGAGGCATTTGGACGAGGAGGTGAGGGAGTTGGGGGCGGAGGAGATGAGCAAGTATTGGAGTTTGGAGGAGATGAGGAGGATGCCGATGTAGGTACGGGAGATGAGCAGAGTACGTTAGATGGACTGGGAAGTTTTGCATAACTACTAGAGTGCTGTACGTATGGTGGGAAACACAATGCTTCCCCCACAATTAAACTAATGTGGATGATAAAACATCTGAAAGGGTGGCCTGGATTGCAAGACGTGCATCAAAGAGGCCTGAGTCAAACCACTGAATATTCTTAATAGATTATATGACTTTATAATCCTTAAATTGGTGAGTTGGTACGTTGCGCTCAAACATAATGTCAAGCTCTTCGTATGTTCTACCTTTCGTTTCTGGTACCCTAAACCATGTCCACAGGAGGCAAATTATAGATAAACCCTTGTGCATGAGTTAGCACTGGGCTATATGCAGCGGCGAAAATCACAGGGTAGTAGTCTTACTCCAAAGAAAAATCCCAACTTCCCTCGCATATTTCCCGCGTCCAGATTGATCATATGTGGAATGGCAACAGTCATGACAATTCCAAAAATCGCCTGGATAGCCGTAGCGATGGCAATGGTTTTGGAACGAACCTTCGTCGCCGAGCATTCACATAGGATCACGAAGCAGATGGGCCCGACGGATAGATTGTAAGTGAAATTCCAGACCAGCATCATCGACGATTGCGCCCAAATCACGCCAGGTCGATCAAGGTAGTTGGGGGTACAGTCCAGAATGCCAATGATAAACAGAATAATAGCCATTACCCCCAAGCCGTTGCGGTAGATTGTTCTTCGACCAACATATGAGAGCAGCACCCACGATAGACATGTCCCTACGAATCCAACACCAAGGAACCCGATCTAAATCTGCGATTAGCAATATTTCTCCCCGGTTAAACAAGAATAATGTCCTTACGCCCATGTTAAATGCATTATCTGTTGACAGGCCAGCCACTGTGGCATGTTAGGCAAACGTCTCCGAGGTCGTTTCTAGACGAAAGCGAAGACTTACAAGTGAAGAAATAAGTCGAGAAACCGATGAGATATATTCCGCTAAAGACTTGGATAGTATAAACGCCGATAGCAATTTCAGTCCGCCTAAGATTGATCTTCCTAAAGCAATCCCGGTATGTAGTGCCTGCCTCCATCTCCTGCTCCAGCCGATCAGTTTCAATGATCATTGCCTATCAGGAGCCGTTAACAGTATGCCAGCTAGGGGCATCATTGCATCATATTTTGCTTACCAAGGTCGCCTTGACGTCCACCCTTGGGGATGCTAGCCGCCGAAGTGACATCTCAGCGTTGTCAAGTCTTCCTTTCCTCACCAGCCACCAGGGACTTTCAGGAGCGAAGAAAATAGCCGAAAGGATAATCGCTGGCCAAATCCACTGCATGGAGAACGGAATACTATAGGCCCAATGCGAATCTAGTCCATGGGTGGCGGCAGCTATGCCATTCGCGATAAACTGGCCGATGACAAAACATAAGTTTATGTACGCGGTCAACACACCTCGTAAAGCGACCGGGCAAACTTCAGAAGCGTATGCTGGAGCAATGACCGCATAACAGCCGAGGATGAGACCACCGAGCAGCTCGCCCACCAGCAACACAGGGAGAGAACGAGCATAAAACTGGATAAAGACGCATCCCGCAGTGAGGATCACGCAAGTCTAGGTATATTCCCAATGTGATTAGCGAGTGACAGCCGCGGCATTTGAATAACCACTCCAACGAACCAAGAACGTCGACTTCCGCCCAAACCACTCCATTGGATAACTTGCCGCTTAAGCACCCACGACTTGACCAACCGGGCTTCCCATGCTAGACGACCATCAATGATTGTATTTGAACTAGGGCCGATTCCACCAGTCACGAACCTAAGACCAGATTGCCAGGCGGCAGAGATTATCCATTTTCCTTTGAAAATATACCCAAAGTCCTCCTGAAATTTTGGGACTCCATATAAGTTACCCATGATCTGGGGATCGAAGCCAGTCATTATCACTCCCAGGGAAAAGAACAACGACCATGCAGCTGCTTTCGGGTAAAGCTTGATAGCGGTTCTAAAGTCCATGCTCGTCTCTGCAACCGTAGCAATTTGTGCCTCCCCGCCAATTTCGGCGGTGACCCTGCGGCCCTCGACATCGTGGTCTGCTTTCCCCATTTCGCATACTCTGCCGCTGCGTTCTACAGAAGGGTGCTTGTAGGACTGGGAGTGCGTAGGGAGCAGCGCCGTAGTTTCCGTATCATACATAAGCAGCAAGTAGCGCAAAAAATACTATATTACCCCGCTTGAAGCGCGGTACGATTATCAAAATGATGACAAGCAAGTATATGATAGCCCCTCGACGGCTTTGTATCCCAGTTTGAGCGGACGGAATACACGATGTACCCGCCAAACGAGATAAGCACAGTCAACCAGCAAGGGGTTGACCAGAAAAATAAGGAGAAAGAGAAAGAAAAGAGAAAAAGGGGCAGTCAATTGCTGGTTCAACAATTATTCTGTCTTACTGGAAGCTAGAACCTGGTCATGACGTTCTCAAATCTTCATTTGCAGTTGAAAAACGATTAGTTAATGCTCCATGTTGGTTTACATAATCTCCCAGCAGCCTCAGCACAAAATGAGCAGAATCGGGCTGTCTTTTACCTGAAAAAGTATGTACTTCCTCAGGTCTTAACCTGAATGTTTGTTCAAAGACTGCATGCAAGCTCGTTCCGAGACCAAAGTAATTCTAGGTTTGAGGAGCTTACAAAATTAGATTGACAATTCTGACTTATTTTTGTTTCGACCTGCACTCCGTATGCCAAGATAAACTAGCGTATGGAGTGGATACATAGTATGTTATGGCATACAGTTGGGAGTCAATTAATAAACCAGGCACGTCCACCATAAGTTGACATGTGTATTAATGCAAACTGTGGTGGCCTTCCTTTCTCCATCACACTTGTCTTTACTGTCTTATATCAATATTATTGATAATGCCCGAGCATAAGCGTAAGCGTAAGCATCAAGCATCCTTAGAAGGGGTATTGGATTTCTCGCAACCTTTTTCATTAACAGCCCAACAACGTGAAACAGCGACGACTCTCATTGATGTCCTGATCCAACATTATGGCCGCGAACTAACAAGACAGAAAGGCTACAAGCCTGCAGCAACTTATCCAGGCAACGTTTGAACATGTTGCATCCAAAGATGCGTTTCTACTGTTCTTTTTCTTGTACCTCTATGAAAACTTATGCTCGGGAGCGGAAAACTTGATTGACTCGGACATTATGATCGCCTTATCCTTCTTTGACGATTTTGCTTCCTGGGATCCGAATCGGAAGAACAGCATCAAGGGCGCTATTGAGAAATTCGCAGAGTATATTGTTGAGACTTTCTTCCTCCACGTATGTTGATGATTTAACTTTTTTTTATTGTTGGAAACAATTATTAACTCAATTGTTGCAGTCAGAGCCAGACATTGCAAGGATGATGACGGAATTCCATTGAAAATTGAATCGAGCGACTATTTTCAATATCTGGAAGTTGCTCACATTCTGCCGCATTCTTTGACATCGCTTGGTTCGGGAGATATTGACTTGGTATGTCTGATCTGGAATATACCTCTTCCCTCTCCTGTTCTGACACAGCTCTGTAGAGCGACTCCAAGAAGAACACACTCCAGATTCTGGATCTGTTCGACCCTGGCATTGTTCATCTCATTGATGGCACGAAGATTGATAGCCCTTTGAATGCTCTCACTTTGACACATGGCTACCATCAGTTGTTTGGTGAATTCCGGATATATTTCGAACCAGTGGGTGGATCATATCAATATATAGAGTTAATTCAACAGAACAAAGTCCCTTTCTGCGTGATCCGTTGTTTCCAGTCATTCGCGAACTGACCCTCAGTCCCAGCCGGACCATCGATCCGCCGTCTGCTCGGCTCCTTGGTGTCCATCATGCTATCGCAATCATTATGAACCTTAGCGGCGCAGGTGAATATATAGAGAACATTCTTCGAGACTTGGAGGAGGTTGATGTGAAGGCAGATGGCTCCACAAACTTGGGGCCTATAATGAGTTTACGACTTGGTGGCTGGTTTAACACATTGACTGTGTTCTAATTAACTGTGCTTCTCGCTTCGCCCTGGGCACTCAAGCCAAGCAACCAAGGAACCTTTGGTGGGATGAGCATTCTTATTATGTTCTATGTCTGCACTGCGAAGGGGTTGAGGAAAGACAAAGAAACTGAAAAGAGTGCAATGGAGGGAGGCGCCGCCCCCACCTCCCCAAAAGAATTTCAGCATCAGGTCACATACACCCAGTCAAGACAGAACGAATTGAGCCATCATGTAAACTTGACTGAATTGATTATGTTTTGGGAAGGCAGGCAACTGGTGGGAAGACAGGATGATTGGGATTGGTGAGGTAGGGGGCGAAAGACAATAAGGAGAGGTGAGGATGAGGACAGAACGACGAGCCTCTTGCGCTAACTCAGAACAGGGACATCCAGATTCCCCAGTAACTAGCTAAATAACCGATATGACAGACTGGACAACACGTGCCAGGAGCAAAATTCGCCGTCAGTATGGCCTAGTTACCACAGGCTGTGCAATGATCAACTTGGATATCAACAGACAGCTAAATCAAAGCTAACTGCAGAGATCTACGATTGTGAGAGACCCAGGATAAATATCGAGGAGGAGGTGGGTTAGAACGACTGATCTGCCCCTGTTAATTCTGTACGCAGGCTCTCAGCATAGGGACAGCAGGGTGTGATTTTGCTCGACTGTGCGACATAGAGCGGGGTTCGCGAGGAGGGAGCTTAAACCAATATTAGCTAACTAGGTAAAACTGTGGTTCTGACAGTGAGGTTCACCAGCAGCCACTGGTTTGTGGGATAACTAGGCTTTTCGTCTCCTGCTCGGAGCACGGAGTCTGGAAAAATTGCTCGGTGCATGCTTCGAGACATGAGGTCGAGTTTGGATTTTCCGGAGCAGTCTTGGCAACTCCGAAGAGCTTCGCCAGCTTCAAAGGGTGGTACATAGAATGTGGGGGTTGCATAAAGCTTGACAGCCTGACATTTGGCTGGCCACCCCACTGCGCGGAAGAATCCATAGTATAAATTTCACTACCTTCCTCGATCTTGGAGTCCTTCACTTTTCCCCGAGAGGATTTTCAGTGCGGTCGCGTAGCCTTCTTTGTTCTCCCGCGTAACCTTTGCGGCACATTCGGCGCACGGAGTACTCCGTAGGGGGGTGAGTCAGCATGAGCTTCACGTGACGGGAGCGGTTGCTGGTTAGCTGCAGCCAATGAGTGTCGAGAACTCGGCGGGCGGTGAGCGACGGCAGGCTGGCGAGCTCCGTCAAGGGCGGGTTCTGCCTGCGTCTCGACATCTCAATAGTAATACTGATATTCACGGTGAATGGAGTCAATGTGCCCTGATGGCATCTGGGCTCATGCATTCACAAGTGTATATCTTCTCTCCCCTTCTTTCTCTCTCTTTTTCTTTCTCCCCTTTTCTTCTTTCACTTGCCACTCTCACTCTGCCATCATATGCCTCCATCTTCCGCTGTCAAACTCACTTTGCCTGACTGATCCCGAAGCCTCGACCCCGCTGAGTATCATTCACTCCTGTTTTAGTAGCCACTTTTTAAAGGAAGCCGGTTTCTGCTAAGATGGTTGTTCCGTCGCTCCTCCACATGGCTCGCAGAGCCTGTGTGAAGCAGGCCAAAGGTGAGTTTGGTTCCCCTGAGTCTTATATCGTTTTTTTTTTATTTTTATTTTTATTTTTTTTTTTAAAAAAGAGACTTGGTCTAACAGCCTTTTATAAAAGCCATCGACGACGTTGGCGATGCGCCATATGGGCTCGTTCGACCTATCCTTCTGAAGGTCGAGAACCCAAGGCAGTTGGTACGTTACTCTTAGTCTCACTTACCTTTCCTTTTTATGGTCTTTCTAAATCCTCCTCAAATGACAGCTGGACTAATTCTAATAATCACAGCATGCCCTCGAGACAAACTCGCCTCAGCTCAAGGAATATACAGGCGAGATTTGGATCGAGTTTATCAAGCGCGACATCCCGTTCTGGAGGGATGTCAAGCTTCCCGAAAACCCGGAAAGCTGGTTCAACTTCTACCGCTCTCTGCGGCAGCAGGCCTTGAGGGAGCTCGAGCTGCAAGCTGAACGGATCAAGCAGGCCATGAATGGTCTTCGTTCCGAGAAGGCCAAGCATTCGCCCAAAGTGGTCAACGCCCGGAAGCTGGGCCTTCCGCAAGAAAAACCAACCAGCTTGCAGAAGTATGCCAACTACGATCGCCAGATGGGCGGCCTGCAGCCGGTGTTCGTCCGGGCTCGTACACAGAACGACAAGGGTCTTACGCCGTATTCCCAGACCTCGCGGTGGACGTTCGAGAAGCCAAAGCTGCCCACGACAACCAAGCCTAAAAAGTCGACGTTGCCCGTTGCCAAGCGAAACAAGCGACTTTGCATCCCGACGCACCAGTTAAACAAACGGGCGTCGGCGATCAAGAAGGCTCCGATCTCGTTCGTCGAAGATTACAAGTATGAGCAACGACTTGCTCAACGAAACACTGATCGAAAGGTGCCGGCGGCACGCGCATCTCCTCCGAAGCGGATAAAGGAATCGAGCACCAGCTCGCAACGGCCAGCGAGTTCCCTAACGCGGCCAAATTCTTCCGGTTTGGGGCGCCCGCAGACCATCACAGCCAAGCCTCCAGGGTTGCCCCTTACCGAGCCAAAATTGACCCTTTCCGGAGTACCACAGCCCAGACCCGCTACGGCGAAGCCGCCCCGTCTTGAAACGCCGAAGCAAAATGCCAGCTCTTCGACCGCGACTCCTCAGCCAGATGCAAAGCCACTGACCCCTCCCAAGGCTGTCGGACCACCTAGACGGCGACCACCACCTAATCCTCTTCTCATTCCGAAAAGACGGGCAGGCCCTCTGCCAGCACAGATGCTGACGGGCCCAGCTCGCCAGTCGGCCTCTTCGAAGCGTCTTCTCGATTCCGGTTTGGCCGGATCGGATGCTGTGCCAGAGAGAAGCAGGGTGAAGAAGCAGCGCATCTCATAGGCGGCTGGACAGCCCGCACCTCCTTAAGATATAGGGCGGATCTCGTTCCATTATCTTCGTTTGTCAATATTATTAAAGGATTTGGGCGTACAGGCTTCGGCGTTTGCGGTTGCTCTCCTTTCGACAGTCGCGATACCCAGGACACGCTTCATGCGATTATGACAATCATGGCGGCATTGTCCTTTTTACTGCATTTACGGACGGCGTTTTCTTTACTTTCGAAGTAGTTGGGAATGACGGTTTCAACTGGCTGGCTGGCGTTTGACGAGGTTTACCTCCGGATTCGTTCTAAAGCACTAGAACTTTCGGAACACTTATCCCGTTGCTCCTTTCCCCTTTTGATGGACAGAGAATTCTACGGTCCAATAGGGAGTTCTTCGACGTGAACCTAAGCTTTTAAAGCGCTTATGAGTCGTTTCGAATGAGTTGTTTTAGCAACACGATGGAAAAGTTTTTGAGGTTTCAGCTGTTTTGCTTGGTTTTGGTGTACAATATTGCCTTCTTGCATATTATTATTTTATCCGGTGGTGAATGAAAAGCAAAGCTGATATGATGTCCAACTTCTCTATACCTACTTAACGCTTCGATTCAGACAGTGTATTTGCTGAAGGGCGACGAGAGCTGCTAGTAACTCCCATGCATCACCTGTATATCTAAAGACAAATAAGCGGCGAAAGACCTGTAATCAATGTACTCCAATACAAAAGGCAATATTAGAGCTCTCCCAACAATTCGCCAGCTATAATGAACAAAAGAGAAGCGGGCAAAAGACGAAGGGTCAAGAATGTTTTAACATATGTCCGAGTACGCCTACGCTCCAAAATCACGGTGGGAATCGGCCTTCCGGCAGATGCATGTCGCCCAAAGTTAACATCATGGGGAAAAAAAAAAAAAAAAAAAAAAAAAAAAAAAAAGAAAAAAAAAAAGGAAAGAAAAGAAACTGCGCGGCTTGTGGTCGTCTTCTCCCAGCCGGGCTGCCCCGGACACGAGAACGTCTCCGACCCGGGTTATGCATGCGGACAAAAGCCCGACTATCAAATGCTCCCTTTCGACCGATGCGGTCGGCCAAAGCGTTTACCTGCATGCATCCTTTTCTCTGCCTGTTGGCGGATCTCCGATATTTATTTTCCTCCGCGGAGTGCGAGGACGAGATGAAGTGTCGCTCCGCCTTCAAGGTTATAATCCTGCGCAGTCTTATCGTCTGCCCTGTTGGAGAGAGAGTATAGAAGTTAGAACGATATGGTCTTCTCAAAAAGATAGTTCTGTGAAAGCGTCCCCTGCGGCAAAAAAAAAAAAAAAAAAAAAAAAAAAGGAAAAAGGGAGGGGGAAGGGAGGAGGAGGAGAGAAGAGTGGAAGCGAGAAAATGCCCAGGAGGTAGGATCGGAATGGTCCACGTACATCTGTTTTCCACCAAAGATCAAGCGCTGCTGGACTGGTGGAATTCCTTCTTTCTCTTCCACGCGCTCCTTGATACGGGAGACCTGTGTGTATGTGAGGAATTTGTCGGTTATCAAGGAATAGTCTCATTGCCTTTCCACCGGTGGAAAGGAAGCGCGTCGGCTGTAGCCTTGCAGGGCAGGGCAAGGCAGGAAGGCCGGGAAGGATTAAAGAGGCAGACTACATACCTTGTAGTCCGGCTCAATGTCGAGCTCAATCTCTTTGCCTGTGAGTGTTCGGACCCTGTCGGAGTGAAAGAAGTGAAATCAGTTCTCCATGTTTTCATCTCCCTTGGTCGGAATGCGGGAACCGAAGCCCTTACTTGATGAGCATCTTTGCGGCGCTTGGGGGTTTTTTTTATTGGTTGCTTTAATTCTGGAAGAGCGATGAAACAGAATAATGCTGCAAGATGCAGATACTGGCTTAGAGAGGACCGGAAGAAAACAAAGGACAGAAAATGAATATGCTGTCTTCTGACGCAATGTGGTGGTGTCGACGGGGTTCAACTTGGCGGGGTCCCAACTCAACCTTGCGGCACAGCACGCACATTGCGCAGTAGGTGGGGTGTTATTAAGCACTACTTGGTAGGAAGACAAAAACCTGGGACGAAAACCGAGCGTGTCATTATCCATGCAAATGGTAAATAGGAATAAAAATATTACTTAAAGAGTATTCTCTTGAAGAAGGCAAATGCCAAATACACAGCATTCAGAACAATTTTTGTCATTTTCTAGCTATACTTTGTAGATAACGCGAGGAAATTACAGGGTACAGAGCACATCAACAAAATCGCGACGGTGTCACATTTTGTAAAATATCTACTCTGTACACTGAGGTGAAAATCTGACTCTAGCTGCGACAATACAACTTGAGAAAAGATAACCAGAGTATGATACATATTCCTAGTACCTTAAATAATCGCTCAAGATTGACATTTTTCGTGCGATGATGAAAGGTTCCATTGCCTGAAGTTCTATCTTCTCCCTTTTCGCAAATCTCTGGCAAAATACCCAAAGACACAAATCAGGAGCGTATCACCTGCTGTTGGCTCTCTGTGTAGGATATGTCGACGAAAGTTGGCCCATCGAGCTTCAGAGAACGGCAAGAAATCAACTACAGACTTTGGGTTGGGAAGGCTCTATCCGGTCTGCTCTGAGGCCGCATAGCTGTAATAGATTGACACAACGGCACCAAATCTTCACGGCTGTACTCCGTAATGGTTGGTGCCAAGTTGCCAGTGCTCGACATGTGGTAGCTGAATCACCTAATTCACACGGTAAAATCTTCATTATGCCCCGGTTTCAATCTGCAATGCGATGATACTGTGTCTCCACGATAAGCATATAGCCTCTAGGGTCTCCGCCTTTTGAAAGGTTGTGACGAGGACTCCATATTGATGAGTTGGAAGAGATTGCGGATAAGGATGTGAGAATTGAAGGGAGTAAATATTTAACCATCGAGATGAACTCGAATTGGCTGAGTCCTATAGCCTTGAGTAGAGACTATAAATTTATTCTTGCAATGACAAATTCAGAAGCATTCAACCACGCAGGCATGAGTGTGGTCGTTGGGGAAAATTATCAGAGTGAAAGTTGAAGTGGAGGATTGGCGCAGTGGTGATTGCCGAATGCGGTTAGTGCGGTGTGGAAATTCCATAAGCGAAGGGAACGCACACTTCAACCTCCGCACTGCGTGATTCAACGACCGAGACGACAACGACGACACCAAGCTTGTGATCCGGCCAAATCAGTCAAAATGGTAAGATAGCCTTTTCTTTGCTACTTGGAGTTCGAAATCTTTTTTTGAAGAGACGGAGTCCGGCGTGCCGCGGGGAGATGCGGACATCGACTGAAGCTCCATCGACATCGAACCACCTTCAAGCGGGCGCGCATTTGGAGTTTGGGAAGATTAGGGAAGTGGGAAGCGTGTGAACGGAGCCGATATGGCCAGATTTTTTCCTCCGATTGCCAAAATTTCGATACAACAATGATTATTTGCGATTGCAGAGGATGATCCGGAGCTATTCACGAAATTTTGCGGGCAGCACACTAAATTCACGATTCGATGCGTCCCATCGCCTTGCCCATCTGGGTATACGATATTACAGCCCCGTTCACAACATTCCGATTTGATATTTTACTGGACATTCCGGATCGATCAAAATGAGAAACATAAGGGTTTATACATGGGTGATAGGCATGGTGGCTGACTTTTTGGCGCATTCGATTTAGGTCAACATTCCAAAAACCCGCCGGACATACTGCAAGTCCAAGCAATGCAAGAAACACACCCAGCACAGAGTCACCCAATACAAGGCTGGAAAGGTGAGGATGTCGCATTCTACGGAGACGTGATTCGTGTGGAAAGAAACTCTACTAGGATATGACGAGACGGTTACTAAAACCCCCTTTTCAATATTTCTAGGCCTCCCTGTTCGCTCAGGGTAAGCGTCGTTACGACCGCAAGCAGAGCGGTTATGGTGGTCAGACCAAGCCTGTGTTCAGAAAGAAGGCGAAGACCACCAAGAAAGTCGTTTTGCGATTGGAGTGCACCGTGTGCAAGACGAAGGCACAGCTCGCTTTGAAGCGATGCAAGCACTTCGAATTGGGGTACGTATCCCTGGCTATTGGCCAAGTTATCGTGGAATACCCCGGCCCCTTTTGGCAGAGAGATTGCTAATTTATCGTCTTCAACTCAACAGTGGTGATAAGAAAACAAAGGGTGCTGCTCTCGTCTTCTAAGCCTTTCCTTCTTGATAAATCGAAATTATCATGGTCATGTCATGTCGCTTTTCATTTCCGTTTTATTTCTTGTTTTCAAGGCATGGCGGCGGAAGCTCTGTAATTAGGGCAAATGACTGGTTATAGGAATGGAAGTCATGAGCATCATTTGAAACACATCGGGGCCCTTCTTGTGTGTATTGATCTTGGGGACCACTACACAGGGTACAGCGATGGGCGCTATGACCTGTTCCGATGGACAAAATACGGAAACCCGGCATCCTACCCCTGATACGCTTTGTGTGAGATGATATTGCTTGAGTGCGCGGAAAGGTCATTATCTACATGAATGCAGAGAGTACCCCAATCCCTCCATCTCTCCGCTACGGAGTAGTTTATCCTCAGGATTTCTGTCTTGCAGAATATCTACTTGAGGCCCAAAAGCAGAGTAAGCGAAGAAATTTCGGCACTGGCTCTCTGTAATTTTTCTTCATACTCATCTTGACTTTCGAAAATTGCCCCACTTTAGCACTGAAAAAGCGACCTCGCCGTGCTCTTTTATCCCAGCTTTGTGTATGGAGTACTCGTCCGTTTATGAAGGTCACATCGAACTTGTCATGATCCTGCAGAATACCGATGTCCTCAATCAGGTTTTCACCACCCAAAACCCCCCTTCCAATAACTCAGTTATTTCAATGGCGACACCACATGTGTTAGGCTTCAGGTTAGCGTTAGTTTTACTAATAGTAGATGACTTCACCTTCGTGCAGCGACAGAGTTTGTCAGTTATCTGCCCTGTTAGATCACTTTGAATGATTTAAAGTTGTCTTCTCTATCAAGTCTCTCCAGTTCCTGGCTAACACACTAGTAGTTGGTAGAGAGCCTGATTGCAAATTGTTGCAACCTAACCAGTACACTGCTCTCTATGATTATACATTAAAAATATTGCTGTTCTAAATGCTTGACATTCATTAACTTGTGCGAGGTTCTGTATTTCATCAACCGCCAAACAGTACCGGGATCTCAGGGAACGGAGATGGCAGAGAACCTGACCAAAGTTAACTCTGTGATCTTTATCACAAGAATGTTAACCAAGTCAGAGGACTCTGACCGGGCAGCTTTTCCGGACAAGAAGCATTATTTTCGCCTGTTATTCTCAGGTGCGATAGTCGCAAGAATCATAGCCACAAACTCTCGCACCGTATCCACACAATTTCCGCCCTAAGTTAGTACGGAAGGCCGTCTCCCGCCAGCTCGCGCAGAGAGAGATGTAAAATCCGTGACAAGGCTAACAAGTAGTATTGCCAAACACCATGTTCACTCTCTCCAAATGCGTATAAGTGTATTGCGATGGCCACTTTCAAAATTTCACCTCTCCCACTTGACAGGGGTTTATGGACAAAAGCACAACTTTTCAACTTGGTCAACATGGAACGCCCTCCGACAAATTTTGCCTATACGGAGTACTAGTGGTTCACATGGGGGGACAATTGGATTTTACGACTTCAACAATCCGAATCTTATCATTCTCTTCCAACGCAGCAATGGACAGAGTGGTCGAGGCTGGCGACGCCATTTATAGCTTATGGGCAGCCTGCACCATTACATGACGTGGGAGTTCTTCCTCGATCCGGCGAGCGAGATGTGTTTGCTATTAGAAAAAGTTATACTGGGCACGCAAAAAGAATTCGGTTGATCGGGATGTGATAGCTTAGGCACGGTAGAGCAGCCGACTCATCCTGTGGCCCAAGGATCAGTGAAAGCATATTTTGAAGATTTGAGTATGACCACTCAAGAGAAGCGTTGTGGATTTCCATTCAACTGGAAGATATCTGCAACTCTCAGCGAGCTTATAGCACACCTACCTCCTCGGAAGTATTGTGATCTTTTAAAAAACACATATTTTCAAGTTTTCTCCCCTGTAAGTTCCATTCTTTGACGGCAGGATACCTTTATCTTTACTTACCATGATGTAGCTTTTCCATGTTCTTCATGATCCTTCATTTGAAACAGAGTACTTTTGTTTCCAGGAAGATGCTAGCTCAGCATTGTTATCCTGGCTGGCACTTCTATTTGTGGTTTTATCGATTGCAGTAAATGGTCTTGACGAAAATGATCCTCTACTTCTCGATATCAGCAGGGAAGCCACTGCTGCTGCCAACATCAGAGTAGTGTCAGCTCGCTATAGAACGGCCGCGGTGCAATGTCTAGCGGCAGACGAAGTGATGTGACGGCACTTTACATAGTCTCCAAGCTCTGGTGCTCTTAATATATGCACTAACACACAACAGTCAGCGATGCTGGGTGCTTCTTGGAGTAAGCCATCACGTTGCTATTGCCATAGGATGCCATCTAGATCCGATCATTTTAGGCTTGTACTGTTGAAGCTGAAAAACGCCGTCGCTGTTCGGGTGCGTTAGTGATACTATACATGACAGAAAAAATGTCGTCCGGGAACCTTGATCAGCAGAAATTCAGCCAGGACGTTCGTCTACCGGTAGAGGCCAACGATAGTGATCTTGTCGACGATAGGCCTGTGCCATTTCCTTCAGGATCTACGCAGATGACGTGTCTCCTCTTTAAATTTCGTCTCGTATGATATCGCCTGTAGGATATGCAGTGAAATATTCGGACTTCAACAACCTTTCTCTGAGCGTTATAGCGAAACTTGACCAGGAAATCGAGGTGCAGCAAGACGCGTGGAGAATGAGAAATTTTTCCCATTCGAATGTCCAACCACTTCCAAATCACCATGTAGCGCATATGAATATTCTTTTCGGCTATTCTAATCAACTCTTCCTACTGCTTCATCCTCCGGCACTGAACCGGTATCTATCAGGAGAAACCAACAGTGCAACACGTGTGTCGCGTAACCGCTGCTTGATTCTGCCAAAGGTCTCTCAGCAATCCAGAAGACTCTATCCGAGTCTCCTGCTTTTGCACCATATAAGTGGTACACAGCTGGCCTGGCCAGCTTCCATGCATTCCACGCTGCCATTGTGCTAAGTCATCTGGACGGGCTCGGAAAATAATGCTGAAAACGAGGAGATCAGGAATACGTTGTTAGATTCTTTGCAAGTCTTTAAATACTTTCGTCGAGGAGCAGCCTGTGTGAGAAAGCCGCACCTATTCTTGGCCGCCTGATGTGTGTTTTAATCCCTATTCCACCCGATCCGGTAAGTAGCTGACCATACATCACAGTGACTTCGCTTCGAGTCGGTCAACTCATTGCAACTATCGACAGGCTTGCTGCCCATCGCCCTCCTCCATGGCCAGTACTACCAGCAGTGTCGCACAGCTCTCTCCAAACTCTGTTTCATTAGACGCTTGCCAGTACGTCCATGAACAGCAACAACCGGTACTGTTACGCTACGCCTTCCGTCTGAAGTATTTGTATTAGTCAGCCAGTTGTAGCTATAGCTTAGCTGAGATCCAAGATCTCATCTGAATATCATGATCTTCAAGAAGCATAACATTTGGTAGCATGTCCTTTGGTTTCATTCAAAGAAGAACTGTTCTGTTGTGGTAACAATACCACAGCCTATCACCTGTTTGAAATCACACCACAGCTAGGTTTCAACAGCATTGCTGGCAAATACTACTACAGATAATTGAGGATAGAACAAGCCCTCTTCTAAATCAGGAAATTTGAACAACATTCTATATCTTACATTACACCAGCAAATAAAGTTATCCCATCTCAGTTGACTCACCATCCTCTTCTCATCTTGACACTTATTTCTCAAAAAATTTCTGAGATAACTTTAAAAGGCCTTCTTAAAGAGTATTCTCTTCAAGAACCTGATTCTGCAGTACTTTGATCTGGATCATTCAATCTTGATAATCTTTTATTTCTTCCATTCAAAACTCTTCTTTATAACTCTAAAATATGGATACTCTGACAGAATCTTCTGCTGAAAAACTCTTGACAGAAAACTCTTCTGAAGAAACACCAGAGACATTAAAGAAGAATATCAAGTTCAGATACATCAAGATCTTATAAAAGACAGTGAAGTGGGGTATGATGGGATGCCTTGTCAAAGTAGGCAAGTTGGTTGAGATGGTGAGAGCACAAGAAGGATGAAAAATCACAACATAGTAAGAATGGTAATGGCTGAGTAGTAAGAACAGAGAAGCATGCCTTAACAGACACCTAAGCTTATAAGAAATAATAATACTAAAGAGCCTGTACTAATACAGACAGCTCTAATAAGAAACAGTAGCAAGCTTTATAAATAAGAGATCTTCATATTCTCTAACTAATAATCAAACTAGCAATAAAGAATGAGTGTATAGAAAAGTACAAAGATGTATAAAGATATTAAGCAAGATGCAGATGCTATAGATGATTTATATAGCTCAGAGATAGTAGCTGGAGAAGTTTTATGCCTCAGACCAGAACAATCTTTGTTCTAATATAGTATCAGAATTCTCATTACATTTTCTTCTGGCTTTCAATATTAGCATTCCCTGACAACAGGCAATATATGAAACAAAACAAAGACAATTTAGTAAAGAAAATAAGAGACTAAGAATTAGTAACAATCTGATAAGAAAAGAGATAGAAAATAAGAATAAAGAAAGTGACAGCAGTAATTTCTAATAGTAATCACTATAATTCTCTTCTTTCATCAAGTTCTCAGAAGAAGAAGAAGACTGAACTAATGCTGGATTAATGTTATTATGCACACAATGCTAATAGAATTTGTTACTAAAAGCTTTCTTTTCAATTTGATATATCTTGACAATGGCATCCAAAGCAATTCATGTGATCTTTAGATATTAGTTATTAATGAAGTTCTGAGCCTTCTTCTCTTCTAGTTCAAAGAGAGTATCAAGCTTCTCAATCACTATAGAGTTGTCCCATCTAATTTAGCCTATCAAGGCATCTAATATAGCTTCTAAGCCTTGCAATTGAATAGCAGTAGAGAATTAATATGAAACTGATGCATAACAGTTTGAATAGCCAGAAGGTGATAATGATTCTGAAACTAGATCTTTATATACAGCAGAGAGCTGTAACCAGATACCAGCTTTATTAACTTCAAGATGTTCATGGTTCTCCTGGATTGCCACATATCAGGGTAGCATAGTACACCAGACCTTTTTGCATGAACCATGAGCTCTATGAGACAGCAGAGAGCTTGTAATTCAGATATTATCAGGTTTGCAAATAATGTCAGTCCATCTAATATTAAATTTTCTTTCATCATCTTTGATATATATTGTATTCTTAATGCAGTAAATATAGTCATTAGTGAATAAGTCTCATTCTTTAACTAGTCTTCACTAATTCTCTAGATGATTATGCATTTCTGACAAGATTTCTGTGCAGTCACTGGACTCTTCTGCTGTTAAGATCAAGAATTCTTGTATCATGTTAACATCCCTTCCAGTAGTAATAGCATCTGGAACATTAACATCAATATAGCAAAATCCAGTTTTATTTCCTGGCTTAGCATACTTGGCATAATATGAATAGAAGATTAATTTCCAAGCATGATCAGGTCTTGTCAGCATATACTATAGATAGTATACAGAGTTCTGATGCATGAGTTGTTGGTCAATACTGTAATATATTATTCTCAATCATTCATAATTATTGCAACCTCTCATCATTCACTAACAATAGTAGTATATATTGTATTCATTATTAACTCAAGTGAGTACTGTGGTAGTAGCATCTTGTAACTTATCATTCCATCAGTATATTAGCTGAAGAATAATAACAGACTCAGTGGTCTTTCATTTCTTCTGAAGATTGCTGGTGGTG